CAACTCCCTACTCTATGCAGGAATCCAAATCCAAACTGCCTTGGGTGCTTTTTAAGGAAGAAGGCTGGGTAAATAAACCAAGCAACCTACCTACCTACCTGAATATAACATGTTGCTATATTAATAATCATTCAATTCTACAACTGCAAAAGAAGAAGGGGAAAGGAGGGGGGAGGAAAAAGCATCAATATATCTATTTTCAGCTATCCATAAATTTGCAACTTCCTTAAGAAATCAAGACTTCTATATGGTAAGAAAAAAACACAGATGGAATTGGTTTAAACTTCCTTAAGAAATCAAGACTTCTACATGGTAAGAAAAAAAACACAGATGGAATTGGTTTATAATTATTTTTATTTTTTTATTGCTTTGTAATATTTTAATATAATGTTAAATAAATACTTTTACTTTCAGGCTGTATTTTATTTAAATATTATTTAAAATTTAAATAGCTAGTACAGAAGCAGAACCAAAGACTGAAACAGGACAAGAAACCCTGTGTTTGAAATGTCAGGGTTGAATGAAGAAAAAAAGGGGGAGGGCCTTATTAATAGCTCACAAATATTGTTCCATAATAAAAAATAACAGAGACTAGATGAAAATGCAGTTTGATTATTATTCTGTTACACACAAATTAGGATGCATTTAGTAAGTGGCAGCTATGACAGCACACCACAGAAAGTCTGAGTATATTCTGGCACTACATTTCAAGACTCTGGGGCCTTCACATTTAAATGATTGCTCCTATTCAAGGGTATTCCACTGAGTGACGAGTTATATTTGGGTGCTCTCTTCCTAATGACTATGATTTTAGTTTTTGAATAATTGATTGTTAATTGTTCATATCAACATTCCCTTTACTTTTCCAGAGTGCTGCATGGAGGCTCCGCCCTGTGCATGCAGATCTCCAGTTGCAACCAGAAGCAAATGGGCAGGAATATTGGGTCGGCTGCAAGTGCCCAGTGCAGTGCTATGCGCTCGCATGCCCGTACGACTTCAGAGAACATTGGCTTATATTTACAAAGCTGCCGAAATCTGGTTCACATTCTTTTAAGGCCCATTTTGTTCTGGGATAACAAAACCACAGAGCAGCATCAAGATCCTACAATTGCCAATATTTGGAGAGAGGTGGAGGAAGAGGAAACCATTCCAGGAATCAGATCTTTAATATAAAAATTAAATGGGAAAGGTTCAAGAATCCAGCATTATTTCACCCTGCAGTTCATACAAATTTGTTATTATGATAAAGCACCTTATGAGCCAGTTCTCACCTGCAGCATTTTATTTTGATTTAGCTGCTGTATGAGCCACAGGAGACTTCTGTCAATATTTGCTATAGCCAATTTGTGCCATAAATGCTCTCGATCTGTCAGGACAAAAGCTGAAGAGAAGACTATGAAGGCTGCACAGATATAAAGTATATCACAAAAGTGAGTACACCCCCTCACATTTCATAAATATTTTAGTATATCTTGTCATGTGACAACACTGAAGAAATGACACTTGGCTACAATGTAAAGCAGTGAGTATACAGCTTGTATAGCAGTGTCAATGGGCAGTCCCTTCAAAATAACGCAATACATAGCCATTCATGTCTAAACCTCTGGCAACAAAAGTGAGTACAACCCTAAATGACAATGTCCAAATTGGGCACAAAGGGTCAATATTTTATGTGACCATCATTATTTTCCAGCGCTGCCTTAACCCTCTTGGACATAGAGTTCACCAGAGCTTCATTGGTTGCCACTGGAGTCCTTTTCTACTCCTCCATGACGACATAACAGAGCTGGTGGATGTTAGAGACCTTGCACCTCTCCACCTTCTGTTTCAGGATGCTCCACAGATGCTCATTAGGGTTTAGGTCTGGAGACATGCTTGGCCAGTCCATCCCCTTTCCCCTCAGCTTCTTTAGCAAGGCAGTGGTCGTTTTGGAGGTGTGTTTGGGGTCGTTATCATGCTGGAATACTGCCCTGCTGCCCAGTCTCCAAAGGGAGAGGATCATGCTCTGCTTCAGTATATCACATTACATATTGGCATTTATGGTTCCCTCAAGGAACTGTAGCTCCCCAGTGCTGGCAGCACTCATGCAGCCCCAGACTATGACACTCCCACCACCATGCTTGACTGTAGGCACAACACACTTGTCTTTGTACTCTTCACCTGGTTGCTGCCACACACGCTTGACACCATCTGAACTAAATAAATTTATCTTGATCTCATCGGACCACAGGACATGGTTCCAGAAATCCATGTCCTTAGTCTGCTTGTCTGCAGAAAACCGTATGTGGGCTTTCTTGTGCATCATCATTAGAAGCTTCCTTCTGTGACGACAGCCCTGGAGACCAATTTGATGCAGTGTGGAGTATGGTCTGAGCATTGACAGGCTGACCCCCCACCCCTTCAACCTCTGCGACAATGCTGGCAGCACTCATACGTCTATTTCCCAAAGTCAACCTCTGGATATGACGCTGAGCACGGGCACTCAGCTTCTTTGGTCGACCATGGTGAGGCCTGTTCTGAGTGGAACCTCTCTTGTTAAACCGCTGTATGGTCTTGGCCACTTTATTGCAGTTCAGAGTTTTGGCAATCTTCTTATAGCCTAGGCCAGTGATGGCAAACCTTTTTTAGTCCGAGTGCCCAAACTGCAACACGAAACCAACTTATTTACTTCAAAGTACCAACACTGCAAATAAACCTGAATGCTGAGGTTTTGGTTTAGGAAAAAAAACTGCCCCTGCACTGCAAGGGTTAAATGCTTGGGTTTTTTTTTTTTTTTTTTCTAGCGGCAGTATTAACAGAGAAATTCTTACTGGTCCTCCAATCCCTCGTTGGGCTAGACCAGTAATGGCTGCTATTGCACCCCTCCACTGGACCACTGCAACAGCAGAAGGGAGTGCTGAAATCTGGGATTGGAGGACGGGTAAGTATTTCTCAATGGTGACTTATGGCTCGTGTGTCCACAGAGAGGGCACTGTGTGCCAGCTGAGACACATGTGCCATAGGTTTGCCATTGCTAGCCTAGGCCATCTTTAAGTACAGTAACAATTAATTTTTTCAGATCCTCAGATAATTGAGGTGCCATGTGGAATTTCCAGTGACCAGTCTAAGAGAGTGAGAGCAATAACACCTGCTCCGCCTTCACACCTGAAACTTGTGACACTAACAGGTCTCATGACACCGGGGGGGGGGACAGCTACTTGGGCCCAATTTGGACATTGCCACTTAGGGGTGTGATCACTTTTGTTGACAGTGGTTTAGACATGAATGGCTGTGTGTTGCATTATTTTGAGGGGACTGTATACTCACTGCTTTACATTGTAGCGAAGTGTCATTTCTTCAGTGTTGTCACATGAAAAGATATACTAAAATATTTATGAAATGTGAGGGGGTGTACTCACTTCTGTGATATACTGTACTTATTTGGTCCCTTAGTGAATTTTCTAATTAAGTGATGTAAGATAAAAGCCTGATCTATTGTGCTTCTGCCTTTCTAAAGCCTCCTTGTTCCTCAAATATAACAGATTGGTTACTGCCACATTCAAGGAGCTTGTTGAGAAGATACCATGCATAAAATTTAGAAGCCATATCAAGGAGGCTAATGGGTCTATAGTTATGGAGACCTTATGGGTTGCCTTTCTCAAAAAGTGTCACAGTGATATTGATTCGCCAGGCTACCACAGTACTGGAAAGAGTTCTAATCCTTGATATTTCTCTTGTTTCAGTACTCTGACTCTTAGGTTTATTTATAGAATCATAAGGTTGGCTGGTTAAAATATTATTGAGGAAGGTTACAAATGGAGAGCATGCTAAATTCCCTATATGATCTGAGTTGAACCCAAGAGGTAAGTTGTCAAGGTAAATTGCAGGCCTGAACAGAATGGAGTAGTTTAATGAGAAGCCATAACAATCAGGTGTGCTGAAACTGAGTCAGGGTGACTCAGCAGGAATGATGTAATCTAGGGCTAAGGTAACCTAGAGATGAGGTAATGTGTAATGAGGTAATGTCTAACCTGATTGGTTGTGTATATGTATATATGTAGAACTGTACAGTTAGTTGTATCTCCACCTGCTTGAAGATCACATCAGCCTGCTCTGCTGCCAGACTGCTGTATATATTTGCTGTAAATACACTATGCTGAAGGAAATGCTGCTGGACTATGTGTGAGTTATTTCTGGACTGCCTGAACCGCCAAATACTGTGATTTCCGCTCAGAAAGCTGACAGAATACCATAGTGTATAGGTGATTGAACAGTTCCACTTACTGTCATTTCCTGTCCATCTAAACTGGAACTTTTGAGTCAGGGAGTATCATCTCACGAAGAATGGGGTTCTGGTTTGTTTAGACAACTATGAACATGGAAACATGGGGTAATAGAGTGAAACCCCAAGACCACCTTTCCTTTGTTTCCTTTTTCAGGAACTGTTTCAAAGATTTCCACCTCATCCTATTTGAGGTTTAATCCAGTTAGATGTCCTGGATCTTTTAAAATGGCCTGCTTCCCCAAGAATGCACCTGCCATATTGCTTCTAGTGCAATTATAAAGAGTTAGTTTAACAAGTTTTCCAGAGATCGGTGTATCTGTACCTACAGTTAGAGAGGCATTTGATTTGCTGAACTTAATCAATCTGTTTGATACTCGCTCATCTTTAATGGTTTTCCATCCCTTTCAGTGGGAACAGCAGACCCATGTGTACATTCCCTTTAAATTAATGTGAATAGCCATGCATGTAAGAACTCCATGTACTCAGCAGAGATCACTCAAGGCTTTTGATCAAAGCTCATTTCTGTACCTGTGAGACATCTTAGACTCATTGCTCATATCACAAAGTGGGAATCTGATTTCTAACCCTAGGCTAGATCCTGAAAACACACCACAGGTCATATTCATATAGATTTATTATGCTTCAAAAATATTACAGGTTTTCAGTTTTAAAGTCACAAAAATATTCTTGAATTCTTCTAAACCAAGTGCTTTTAGTCTTGTGAACATACATGGGAGGGTACTTCAATATTCAATAATGACAGTATTTATTAAATTAATTCCCACATTTTCCCTTAAAATTTTTATCAAACCAAACTTTGGAACTACAGTTCAATATTTCTCTTTAAAAGCATTAATTATCTAAGTACTGGATACCACATTATCATGACAGGAATCAATGGGTGGCACTCCATCATATCGCCACGTTATAAATGAAGCAAGCATGGAAAAATAATGCTTTGCATTCAAAATATATCATCCTTCATTTTCTGCTAACCTATGTCCTCTGAAATAAATCTAAGCTACTGCTGCATATTCATTGGTTTGTTCATTTTTTTCACTTTCCTGTGGACTGGTAATGGTGACTCTTGGAGTTGAAGTCTTTTCATAGTTGGAGTCAGCCTAGACCAGGGTGAAAAAACATATTTTAGCTCATCATATAGCAAGAAACTTTCTTGTGTGGGCTCATGCAATAAAACAGCCTTGCAAAATCTGAGACCCATCAGGCCAAATGCTAGTCACCAGCTATGTCAGATGCTTGACAAACCCTGTGTTTGATGTTCCAGAGAAGAAGCAAAAGTAGAATGTTTATGAAAGTGCTGGTAGGTGAACAGTGTTCAGCGTAATGGATCACAAAGTGAGAAGTCTAAAAATAAAACAAGCGGTCCACTCTGTGCTTGGGCAATGAACAAAATAATGTTTCCTGTTATCTCTGAAATGTGAATCTCAAAACACAATGAACGATTTATAGTGAACAAGCAACAGTTCTGGTTCATTTCCACAAACAAAATGTGACCTCAGTCAAGATGCAGAGATAAAATGAAATGCATGGTCAGGATACAAATTTAGCAATATAATTTACAGAAACAGCCTCTCAACCCCAATTTTTCCTCAACAGTTTTACCCAATAGATAGATGATGTAAGCAGCTTCAGCTTTTTAAAAATGCTTTCTACATCAAGGTGATCAACACAGAGCCTAGAGGCCACACACACCATTCTTGTGATCCCCACTGTCCCTCAGTGACCACTGCCACCAGAAAGCTTGCTGCAGAAAATCAGTGCTAGTAACTTCCTTAAATGCACCCCCCCCTCCACCTCAATCTCTTCTTCTTAACTTTCCTCCTTACCCTTACGGAATGGCTGAAAATAATACAGTGGTGTGTCGACTTATGACCATAATCCGTTCCAAAAGATGAGCATAACTCGAAATGGTCATAAATTGAAGCACCATTTCCCAACGAATGCATCGGAACACAATTAATCCATTCCAGCATTAAAAAAAACAAAACCAAAGACAACCCCACAGCCAGCCCCATTGGAACGTGATGGGGCTGGAATTTTTTTTTTAAAAAACCCCCAAATAAACAGAGCAAGCCCCATCAGAACGTGATGGGGCTTAAAACACACACACACCAAAACATCAAAAAACATCACAGCACAGAAACCCCCAAACCCACCCTGGAATACAAAGTAAATGTACTTACTCAGAAGCAGGATCAGAAAGCAGGACCAGGCAGTCTGAAGCCTCCTCCAACACACACACTCTAACCGTTGGGGTGCAAGAGCTACAAAGAAGCTCTTTGCTGACCAATGGTTAGTACCTACATTTGAATTCCCCGCTTTTTTTCCCTGCCTCTTTTCTGTTTGCAACTCGAAGCTCCGGCTGCAAGTTGGAACAAAATCCTGTGGCCGGAGCTGATCGTTAACTCAAAATGGTCGTATGTTGGGACGGTTGTAAGTGGAGGTACCACTGTACTTGTTTTGTTCTGTTTTTCCATTTCAGGACACTGACTGTTTTTTATCATGCAGAAAGACTTTCTGGCTGCTTCTTCCACCACAGAACATTGCCACTCTGGTTACTGAATTTCAGTTGTAACATCAGCAGCACAGTGGGTTCCAGTTTGTCCAGTGCAGCCTGAAGACCACCAGACATTGCCCATCCCCTGCTCTGCAGTGTGTAAATCACTCTGGGAAATTCATAGTGGCAGCTGTCAACTAAACAGCATCAAACCTGTGGTAGCTGAAGTTAGATATTCTAGTAGTTGTAACACTTAATGCCTCACCAGATCTATGATTTTGCTGATACACAATTTTCCTGGATTCAGATAAATAACCATGCATGTGGCCTGGTCAGATGCATAACTGTGATACCGCAGCAACACTTTTGTTGATACACAATTTTCCTGTGTATCAGCAGATAAATAACCATGCATGTGGCCTGGCCAGATGCATAACTGTGATACCGCAGCAACAATGCAGCACATTTTCTCATCATCTGATGATGATGCAACATTTTTTCAATATTGGATTCTATCTTCTATGTGTAAGCATTATCACAGGGATCATCTAAGACTATGGTTCCCAAAGTTGGGTCCCCAGATGTTCTTGGCCTAAAACTCCAAGAAGCCTTCACCACTAGCTCTGCCAGAAAGGATTTTTGGAAGTTGTAATCCAAGAACACCTCGGGACCCAAGGTTGGGAAACATTGATCTAAGATCAGGAGCCACATTGTCGCTTGAAAACAAAAAACCCAGTTGTGGAGAATATGAGCCACAAAGAAAGCTATTACTAGACTAGATAAGACAAATAAAAGCATTTGTTCAACAAAACAGCAACGACATGTTACCTTGGTTTGATCATCAATACCTTCTTTTATTTCTTCTTCATGACTATCGTGATCCATTTCCACACCATTTTCTTCACATGTTTCACCCTTTGAGTGATTTGCAGGCATGTCTTGTGCTGCTTGTTCATGTGCCTGCCCTTCCTGTACATCTCTGTAATGGTCATTTGGTTTCTCTTTGTCTTCCTCCATCATATTCATGGCTTCTCCAGTGTCTTCACCTGGATCAGCCTCCCCATTCATTGCAGAATATTCTCCTTGATGCAGAGCCCTATGTTCTACGGCTATGTTTTCTTCCTCTTCCACAGTTTCTGCTGGTCTCTGAGCAAAGCACAAGGAAATCATATTATACTCAGCTTTGTTGACTGGAATATTTCAGATGAAATTACTGTAAGCTAAGAAAAGGCTGAAAGCATATACATATTCCATGGTATGTTGTGAACAAAATATAAGCTGTCGTGCCAAATTTTTTTTCATAGGAAATTCTTTCTTCCCCATCTGAAGCCAAAACTCCCCAACGTATCAAGGGTCAAGCGATCTGATTCATGTCTGAAGATTACGAATCTATTGCAGGTCAACAGGAGGTCCTGCCAGCAGTACCCAATGAGACCCTAGTTGCAAAGGTGTCACTGACTCTAATCTGAGAAGGCGGAGATGTCAGTCTGCCCCAGATGGCCAAAGACTTGAAAAAAGGAAAGATTATACTGTGAACTGTTCCCCTTTCAGTTTGTGCTTGAAGTTCAGTATCACTGGGGAGTGAAGTGGAAACACCAGGAAATTACAAAAGGACTGAATTATAGGGTGAAGAAGAGTTAAAAGAAGTGCCCATGGGTACAATGGTCTTATTGCAAATAGTTCTGCAATAAAGATTTTGTTGGCTCTAAATGCTGTTAGACTTTTCTTATGATGACAAGTGTGGCTAGTGCTCCCTTTGATGTCCATTTGCCTATGGATGGTCTGAGTACCATCGCACTTGGTTATAAACCAGATCATGGTTACGAGACTGATGACTGGAAACTGTGATTGCGAGTATGCTCCAAGGAATCAAGCTTTGAAATGTGGTGTTAAGGGAGAACTTTAGAGGTACCGTGGACCACCAGAAAAACAAATCAAGCCTGAACAATACCTAGAAGCAAAAATGACTAAACTGAGACTATTATACTTTAGACATTATCACAAGAAGATCAGATTCATTGGAAAAGATAATCATGTTGCAAAAAATCAAAAGCAAAAGGAAAAGAGAAAGACCCAACAGAAGATAAATTAACTCAATAAAGAAAACCACAGTTAATGACAAGACATTCTGGAGGTCACAAATTCATAGGTTTGCCATTAAGTTGGAAGTGACCTCACAGCATATAAGAAATAAGACACTGGCTATGATTACTGTTCAAAACAGGGGAAAACAGGGAAAAGCAAAGTCATAATAGGCACCAACTTTAAGGTATGAATGCAACTTCAGAAAGCACTTCACTTTGAAGAAATGAGCCCCTCTTAAATATAGCTTTTCTTTTCCTGTAATGATAATGCTCCACATACATCCGGAATGATTTCCACAACTAACAGAAACATTTTGTTCCCAAACCAATTAAGGTTGCCAAGCAATAATGCAGTACCTGCCTACCACATTATTTATAATAATATCTAAACATCTGAAAAGGAAGAAATAATTAATGATGGACTCAATCCAACATTATTCATTTTCCATATAATGACATATATTTGTGATTTCAGCTATGCCCCCTGTATATTTTATATTTGTTAGTTTTATTCCCATAGTTAAATATTTTATTTTAAAAGGTCACAATATCTGTAGGCCAGCAAATCCATGAATCATTCACATTCAAGTAGGATTTCAGAGGTCTCAATATACGCTAAGGATTTGTTTTAAATGTGGTCATAACAAGACATCCCTAGTAAATTTTTGTTTCTAGCTTAAGTATATTCAGGAGGCAAAGGGTCTGAGTTGTTATAGTATCATCAAGGGACAAGGTCTCTACTCTGCAGCTGTGCATTTCCTTCTCAATTTCTAGTTTGCATCTAGCCAGTCAAGACCAAATGTATATCATTTGGTCTTGGCAGCATTTACTCCTTCTGTCATTAGATCAGGCGTGGGCAACTTCAGATGGATTGGAGGAGATTTTTCACACTCTTGAGCCCCACTGCAAGATGTACCAGTCCCTCTGTCTACTTTTTAATGGACAGATGCTAAAACAAAGGATAGGAACTCACTTTGCTTTAGATAAAAAAGCATCTGGAGGTACAATTATCCCTGTAATATTGGGGGGGGGGAGGAGCAGGGGAGATGAAGGCTGCATAGACGGCCTTGACGCTATATACAGCCCATCGGCCTTGTGATTCCCACATCTGATCTGGATAGTGTTAGAAATGGCTAGAAAACCGGCTGATTGATTACTTTATTTTGCTGTTTAGTTATAGTAGAAGACCACTAAGTGATCCTTTGGAAATATTTTATTTTATTTCATTTCTACTGTGCCTCTTCCCTGTAGAGGGACTAAAGGCACAAATATTAAAACAACTGCAAATATAAAAATCATATTACTGAAAAGCAATTAATCACAATAATTATTTAAAATGCTCAAAATAAATAAAATCCTTTTACAAACATATGTTTAAAACAATTATATATATATAACAAACAGCCTAGACCAGTGGTTCCCAACCTTGGGTAACTCAGGTGTTCTTAGACGGCAGTACCCACGCGCCTTTGCCACTAGCTGTGCTGGCTGGGGTTTCTGGGAGTTGCAGTCTAGGTTACCCAAGGTAGGGAACCACTGGCTTAAACTAAAGTCTTTCAGACCATTATAGGTTAAAAATAACACTTTGAGTTGTGCTTGGAAATGAACCAGTAACTAATGAAATTGTTTTAAGAATGATTTCCTGTTCTCTCTGGTCAGGAATGTACCCTCAGCATCTTAAGACTCACTAAAGCTTCTGAACATTTTCCAGAAGTAGCCCTACATGAAGTCTGTTACAGGATGGGATGTAATTAAGGCATGTGTCATCGTAGTCAGAATAGCTCAAACTAAAAGATCAAAAAATACAATTGGAGTGATTAAAGATGAAGAAGGAGGGAAGTTAGGTTCTTGAGCATAACAAGATTTCTCTTAATTTTTGCACAATTGATTTCATGTAGATAATGCAAAGAGTGTAACTTTCACAATTTAAAGGTTTATCTGAAAAATGGATACAGTAATATTTGTATTGTACAACTACCACAATGCTGGTTTGCACTTTTTCTAATTTCTCTTACGTTCTTCCATGGGGCCAATATGAAAAATAAAGGTACTCAGCATCTAAACTTACTTTTACTAAATGTAGAGTACTGCAATATTAGCAGACAGTAATGATTTATTTAGTAAACAGGAAAAGGTCTAGTAATGGGAGAATGGAGTTTAGGTGTTCAAAGTGCCCACAAGTCCTTCGGAATGGAAACTGGCAGTTTCATTACTGTACTGGTAGACAATCAGTAGAGAATTGGACAATTAAACAGTTTATTGATGAGATCAACAAGTACATTTGGAACTGCAATGGAATGTAGGTTAATAAAGGATTTTGGATACCTGTTCATTTCCATGCTCAATTCAAGGTGCTGGTTATTACCTATAATGCCGTTAACTGTTTGGGATCCTATTACCTGTTTGATCTCTCCATAAACACAGCTACCTGTCCAACCTGTTCCTCACACTTGGTATTGTTAAATTCAGTAACACTTAAAACGGCCAAAAAAGTTACCACCAGAAACTGGGTGTTTTCAGTTGTGGTCCCACATATATGGAATAAACTCCCAGCAGAGGTTTGCTAGGTGCCCTCCCAGCTTTTAATAAACTATTAAAAACAGAACTGTTCAAAAGTTGCCTTTTATTAGTGAGCATTAATCAATGTCCAACTGTGGTTTACACTTGTTTAATGTGGTTTCTTTACTGTTTATTGTTTTTGATGCTTATAATTGGTGCTGTTCTATTTTGTAGATTATATATGTTCGTTGTGAATGACCCAGAGAGTGCATATCACATTGCTGGGCAGTATATAAGCTGAATGACTTAATAAATAAATTAAACACCACAAAACAAATGTCATAATTATATTACAAATACCCAGCAACTAAGGTAATTTGACATAAGTTTACAGGACAGGGAAACTAGCAGGGAAACGCCTGAGGCTGAGAATAAAAAATTGCAAGAAGAAGCTTAACAGTGGTAGATCATTTTGTCTTTGTTTATTTCTCTAGGAATCCTGTCACAGCCTGGTTAAAGCATGTGAAATACCTCTTAAGAAGACCACTCCCAAAAGGATCATTGCAGCCAGCCACTGATCCTTTCAGGATAATTCTCTACTGAAGCAAAGCACCAGTCATTACAAAAGAGTATTAAAAAGATTTTAAAACTTGTCTATCCAAAGCAAAAGACATGCTGGCTAAAATTACTTCCTGTCATGGCCAAACATTGGCCAATGATAGTTGAAGTGAACAAATGAAAACCAACACCACCTTAACTGATGACAAAATGAGAACCAAAAGAAAATTGACATTTATATAGTTCAGGGTGCCCCAAACGAAAGTGGCTTTTGGTCTGTCCCATTCTCAACTGAAGATTTGCCCCCAATCTACCACCACGGGTAACAGTAGCCAGGATGATACAGGCAACATGAGCAAGATGCACCTACCCATCAAGATAATGCATCGTTATGCCACTTGGCTGCTTTCTCCCAGCACAAGCCCCAATAACCCTATACCTTGTGTGAGCTAGCCTTCCAGCAGATTTGGGAGTTTCTTTCTGGCACCCTAAAGAAATTCTTAGTGAGTTGCAAGATTTTATACAGTATTTAGAAATAAAATTAAACTTTTGAATAAAGTGTGTGTGTGCTGCTTGTTACAGCACTTTTCACACTTCCGTTAGTTTGCAGATTAGCTTGCTTTAATTTGTAATTTGTTGTTGAGTGATAAAACATCAATTTCATTTGAAAGTATAATTGCTCAAATATGAAGGTCTGCCAGAATCATATCATTAGAACACTAATATGATTTCTGTTTCAAGTAACGTACTAATTTGACCTACAGAATGTAAGACTATCAGGAGTTGTGGTAGCTAAAATATATATATATAAAAAGCCCCTTGGTGCTTTCAAATAAACATTAGAAGTAGTTGCTGCCTTGCATCAAGCTTCTCACAAAAGATGCCAGTACTTTGATGTAACCACATGCAAACTTTAAATTGCTAACCACATTTTATGGCATACTCAGTGAATAGTGATGCATTCTTCTGTAATGCATTACTACATGAAAAGGGATTTGGATGTGCTGGCTTTATCTAAGGCTGGAGTAGCTTTAGTGTAGCCAGGCGGTGCTTTTTTTGTCCATAGAGTTGCTCCAGGCATGAAAATGGCCAAAATCATTTTTAAAAATTCATAACAGGAGGTAACCAATCTGCCATTTCCTGTCATCTTTTCTTTTCTTGCCTTTATTTATTTATTTATTTATTTATTGGTCTGGCTGCATGTGGTTCCCATGCAAGAGGAAGGATACTTCTTCAGCACAGGCCTTAATGCAAAAGCCTTTATGTATAGTGCTGTCATTTTAGCATTTTTCACATGAAATAAGTCCATCACAAAAAACTAAAAGGACACTGTTTCTAGTGACCCAAATCAAGCCATCAAAAATATCTAAAGGACACCTATAAGAAATAACATATGGAATCCTACAGACTGTTAAATGGACAAAACTAGGACAGACTACTTCGAACTGCCAAATGAAATAAACAAATCAGTAAGAATGGGACAAGTAATTTTGTTGTCCTTGTCTATTGTCACACCAGGAAAAAATAATAGTCTACAGGAATAGTTCCCAAACATTTCACATAACGCTCTTTTCTTGATTTTTGAGAAACCCTTACATATCTTTACCTCTACATTGCTATTATCTATTCTAGAGATGAAAAGTTTGGACAAAATTATGAGAGTTTTGTACATTTGTCACATTTGGGGACCTTTTTTGTGAAACACTTTGCAGGACAATGTTCTGTGCGAGAGAGAGAGAGAGAGAGAGAGAGAGAGAGAGAGAGAGAGAGATTACCTACCAATGGTTTTCTAGTGGTCCTCTGTGAATCCACACAATTGAGTTGTTCTGCGACTGCGCAGGATCTCTCAGAAGTTTCTAGAGCTTAAAGATAATTGATTAGTGGGCCAATTTAGTCCTATCAACGTAGAAGGCCAGAGAGCATCTTACATCAAGCATGTGGAGCATGCGCTCGAGTTGTGTAGAAGTAGAAGGGAACAAAGTACGTAATATCAACAGTTGATTAAGATGAAATTCAGAGACAACTTTAGGTAAAAAACGATACATCAAGATAGAGGGTGACTTTATCTGGGTGAAACTGGAGGAAAGGTGGGTCGGATCTTAGGGCAGCAAGGTCGCTAGAACGTTTAGCAGACATTATTGCTATGAGAAATGATGTCTTCAGAGAAAGTAATTTAAAACTGGCAGTAGCCATTGGTTCAAAGAGCAGTCAAGTAAGTGCATTGAGGACAAGTTGCAAGAACCACTGTGGAAGAGGATGCTGAAGTGGTGGGCGAATATTGTGGAGTCCCTTGAGGAATTTTTTCAAAGTTGGGTGGGAAAAAAGCTTAGCAGAATCAGAATGAAGCAGCTGGTGTGCCACAGTAGCAGAGATATAAACCTTCAGGGTAGAATGAGACAGTCCGAGATGAAAGAGATGAAGGACAAAGGTAAGTACAGTTGTCAGAGAAACAGGGATCGCAGGTAAGTTGTGAGAGTTAGCAAAGGATAGGAAAGCCGTCCATTTATTCCGATATAGGAGTTGGGTTGAAGGTTTTCGAGCTTGATCGAGTATGTCTCTTATGGTGGGAGTATCCTCCACACTGTCAGGTTCAGAGAGTCTATGTCTGGATGGTAAACTTTCCCATTGTCCTGGGTGAGAAGACTGGGTATCGAGGGGAGACAGAAGACATCTGTCGACATCGACCTGAGGTGGGTGAACCATGGTTGTCGTGGCAGTGATGTGGAAAGATGTACAGGATGATCTGGGAGAGTGTTTGGTCCATTTAGATTGAGTTGGAGAAAGTGGAGGAGAGAGAATTCATTTGAGAGCTGATTTAGTAGGGATTGACATATGGTGGGTCCATGTCGGATATGTAGAAGAAGAACGATGTTGACGTTGAGGTGGTGAGGGTGATACGGAGGGTGAATATTGAGGTGGGCAAACATATCTCACTCTCTTGGGCTCATTGTACTAGACATGCTTAGTCGAATCCTTTTGATAGTAGGGGTCATAACGACGGTACCTCATAATCATCTCTGACTGAGTAGCAAGCTGGCTCGGGATAGTAGTAGAATTCCCTATGCGGGACATCATGGAGCACGGACGAGAGATATAATCTCTTTTGCTGGTGTTTCTGGGGAGAGTGATGAGACAATTCCAAGACAGAAACCTGAACAGGCACTGCCCACCCTGATGATCTAGGGCTTGAATGGGCCAAGTCCAGGCTGGAATGAACATCAGCCGGAGATAGGCCAGTGCTCGGTGAGAGACTAGCAACTGAGGCTGCAGCCTGAGCTGAGTCAAAGTAGAGTCATCTCTATCTGAGATGGGGCCTGGGGAATATCTAGACAACTCTTCAAGGATCAGTGATGGAAGTACCGATTGGGGTGGGTCGATATGAGTTGATTTCGAAGGCTTCTTGGTCTTTTTAGGTTTAGCCTTATCTTTCTTTTTCTTAGAAGAGTCATCAGGACAGATCGGAGTTTTCGACGTGGACGTCGAGCACTATTTCGAAGCCAACTTTGAATGGTCCTTCGGACGAGGAGAAGGAGTCGTAGGGCTCAAAACCAGCTAAGGGGTTTCTTGATGTTCCGGGTGTGGAGACATCACTGTAACCATGGGAGTCGGATTAAGAGATTTTTCCCAGAGGTACAAAGTCTTTGTAATCACAGTTTAAGAGCGGGTTTAGTGAGTTTTTTACACTCGGGCAGGAGTGTGTCTGATGTTGCTCTCTGAAGCAAAAGAGGCAACGATTGTGACTGTCGGTGAGCGGGATCTTATTCGTGCAGAGCATGCACTGCTTGAAAGGCCCTGGAGGGGCCATAAAACATAGGAAAAAGGGGGAAGGGAGAGGTAGTTGGGGGGCAGGGGGGAAACCGTAGAAAGAAGAAAAAAGGATTTGGATAATCTAATGGGGAGAACGTAGAATAAACAGGGGAAACGTCCAACAAAAGAGATGATTGAAGAAGAAAAATAAAGGAATGATCTCAAAAAGTACAATCACTCAATTGCTCTAACGTTCCAAAATAGGTCCAACTGAAGCAGTGACTAAAAGGAACTGAGGGGACTTTGGGCAGGCAGAGCATTCGCTCCACAGGGGAATGTCCCACTAATCAATTATCTTTAAGCTCTAGAAACTTCCGAGAGGTCCTGCACAGGGGCAGAACACCCCAATTGTATGCATTCACAGAGACCACAAAGAAGAAACCGACTATTTTTAGTTTTGCCCAAATACCAGCTTTTCAAAACTAAGTGCAAGAATTTCTGTGCAGCAAAACACTTTTCCCCCCTCTTGGAACTGGAAGTGATGCTATCGCTGACTTAAAAAAGCCCTGCTCTTTTCATTCTCCAGTGAAAAGTAACTTTGGAGCAGTTGGCAATTTTTTCAACTAGATATCCAAATGCACTGACACACTCTTTTTCTTGAGGGACAAAAAATTGTCCAATTCCTGTTTTTTTAAAAAAAAATCACTTGCATTTTAATATTAAAAATAAACACAAAAAACAAAAATGTTTCCTTATTGTAAAAAGTTAATCACACAAATTTATCTTAGAAATAGCAGAAACAAAACAAGAAGAATCCCTGCCCACACAATTTGGAGAGTTTGTCTTAGAATTACTAAAGAGAATAAAAGAGGTAGGAGTGTCACCAGGATATGTTAAATTTTCTATGCCCTGAAGCATTCCACAGCAGAATGTCCAAAACTAGCAGCGTTCTAGAACATTCAAAAAGTGGAGATGTCCACGAAGTTCTAGAATGTCACAGTGCATCAAAAACCCAATATATTAAAGCATACAGAAGTTGAACCCTTTTCCAAGTGGTTGTTCTCGGGATCATTTTCTTTAAATCAAAGGTTTCCCCTTTCTATGAGCTGCTTGTTTCATACTCACAGAAAGGAGTACAGTGTTGACAACATGCAAAGAAAATAAAGCCAACGACTTCAACACAAGACAGAGCCTTCTCTGCACTTAGGAATTCTACCCTCTGGGGTTCTGTACCAATAACAATCAAGAGAAATAAGCTTAGGATGTAGGTGTAGCTTTCAATCTGTTTGTCTGTCCCCAAATTCCTCAAAATAGGTTGTAAAATTTGACAAGTGGTGTTAGTTCAAGGGTGGTTTCTAGCTGCTTCAAATTTAGCTGGTCATGTAATCCAGTGGAGGAATAATAAACTCTAGAACCCATGTCTATAGCAGACGTCTGTTTGAGTCAAACATAACTATGTACTCCCCTAGGCCCTCTCGAAACTACTGACAACATGCTGTATTAGATTAGTGGGGCCTCTGCTTTAGTATTTCCTCTTTCCTGGACTTCTGTAACTTCACTATGACATCAGATAGGGTAGTGCAAGGTCAGAAGGAGACATTTTCAACATCAGTCATTTATTCCAAGCTTGTAGATTACCTGGTCAACAGGGACCTCTGTCTGAGTGTCTTCATCTTCCTGGACCTCTACAGCTCCCCGCATTTCAGATCGTTTTTTGCCAGCCTTGTAAACACCATCTTCTGAAAATGGAAAGCAGAACCCAATGGTGACACTGTGTGGTAAAATATGTGGACTGCATCCAAGAAGAGTCTTAAGAACAGTTTTCCAAAATTGATACCTCCTTTTTCACAGGTGTTTAACCTCATAGAATCTAACCCTAACTACATACCTGTTTAACCATATTTGCCCAATGTTTTATCATATTTTAATGTAATTAAGAAACAGAATCCAGCATGAGGCTAATCAGATGTAAGGTAGAGGATTGGGCAAAGAACAGATGTGACAGAATAATGCCCAAGCCAGGGAGCAAATTTAGGCTCCACAATTATATATTATTGATTCTACTCCCTCTTTTCTCACATTAATTTGAACAACTCCTATAACCCTTCCAATGGTGCAGCAAGATAGGTCATTATTGCTTCCATAATTGGGGACAGAAAGGTAAAACTAATTTTAAGTCACTTCCCCAAAGTGGCTCATGGTAAAGGAGGATTTTATTTACCAATTTTAGTTCCAGCTCAGTACAGTGGCACCTCGACTTACGAACTTAATCCGTAATGGAACTGCGTTCGTACGTCGAAAAGTTTGTAAGTCGAGGCAAACTTTTCCATAGGAATGCACTGAAAACCATTTAATCCTTACCTGCTGTTTTTCATTCATATGCTGAGGCGCTGTTCAAAGGTAGAGGCATTCGTTCCTATAGGAACTAATGCAAAGCCGGTTAATCCATATTCTAACACTAGGGGGATTTTTTTTTTATTTTTTCTTCTTTTGACCTAAGATGAACTTAGGTCAAAAAAAAGGCAGGAAAGGTTTTTTTGTTTGTTTGGTTTTTTTTGTTCATAAGTCGAGTCTCCATTCCCAAGTCGAAGCAACTTTTTGCGAACAGAGCCATTCATAACTCAAATCGTTTGCAAGGGGAGACGTTCGTAAGTCAAGGAACCACTGTAGTTCTCAAATGGGAGTGAGAGAAGGAGTCAAAATGATGGACTTGGGCAGAATGGGGAAGAAGGGTGAAAAGAAGAACTATGTTGGAATTAACTGAACAAGATCCCTAAGTTTAAGAACCAAAATTTTGGAATCTGCAACACCCTGCACCAAGTAGTGAGGCAGGAATAAACCAGAAAAATGGAAGATAACAGAGAAGCAAGAGAAATTATCATATGAAAAAAGTAGACCTTGCTGACTGGACACCTCAAAGTGGAAGAAGCAGCTGGACTGTCAAACAGAACTGTTCAAGCACCTATGTGTGACAAGTCCATGGTATGAGAATCTGGCAGGGCCCATCTGCAGGCTGCAGCACAGCACAGTTTCCTATATTAACATTTAAATAGTTGGTGGTTTCCAATATTCTGAAGATGACAGGCATCCCCTGTTTTGATCCAGCTCATAAACTCACTAGTGTACCTCAGTAAACAAGAAAATTATGTGACCATATTAAATACCAAATGAGTTATAAATTCAAACTAATAAGAAATAAATGCACTTTAAATAATTAAACATAGAGAATTAAGGGTTTTTTTCTGCATAAGTCATTTTCCTTGGCAGCTCTAACAAAAAAAATTTTATTGCAGCGCAAGTGATAATATTATGCATAACCATCTAATGCATTTCAAATTTGAAACTGATTAAAGTTCAGCATTAAGAAGGAAATAATCATAGTAATAACTGTCTGCCCTGAATATTTTATGGAAATTGGAGGCATTTACAGAGTTGTAAGCTGTGTGTGTAAGTGTGAGAGTTAATGTAACTACAAAAAATATTCCATATAATTTATCAGATGCTGCCTTGTAACATCATAAGAAAAAAGAAGGGCAAGGAATATTAATGTCATTAAATTCAACAGATACCTAAAAGGCATGGGAAGTATTAGGGATTGTTTGCTAATCTTCACCAAATAAAAAAAATTAAAAAGTACAGGTGACAGAAGTTGGGATACTGATGTAGGAAAGGCTTAAGGTAATTGTAAATCTTTCACAAAATGGAACAGTTTCATTTATGCAAGGCAGCCTTTGCCTTATTGTCTTGGAGGGGAAAAACAGAACTTGTGGAACAAGATAATATCTAATTTAAAATTATTATGATAAAACTGAACTAAATATTGTTAAAAGGTAATAGTTTTTTTTAAAAAAAATTGTGATAACAATGGACTCAATTAAACTACTCTGCCATAAGCACAGCTAGAGATTGTCCTTTAAACAAAAGACCCATTCCAAGAAAGAAGCTCTCTTTGATGCAATTCTGGTTCTTTTGGCAATTACTGAAACACAGTGTCTTAAACATGAATGATTGGGATCAATAAAAGTTCCTTGGTTTTTTTGTGTTTCTGCTTTCATGAAATCTTTCCATGGTCATTCACCCTTTGTCTGTCAGATAGTCTCTGATATTTTTATACATAGCATCATGAGCCAGCAGCCAGCCAATCAAAACATCAGGAGGATGAGACAGTTTTGAATCTGTGAAATGGCCTGGAATTCAATGCTTCAATCATTCTTTCTGGGATTAATGTGAGATGAGCTCCTGTCTCCTCCATCTTGGATTGCTGCCTGCCTCTTGTGCTTCATTCTTGGATCTGTCCCTTTTTTTTAACTGAGGTGGTCCCCCATTTCTTTGGGTTATTTTTGCTTCTATGCCACTATGTCATGTATCTTTGGATTTCTCTCTCTCTCACACACACTCTCTCTCTCTCTCTCTCTCTCTCTCTCTCTCTCTCTCTCTCTCTCTTTACAGATATACCAGATTTCCCCCCTTTCTCTTAGATTATTTTTGCTGCTGCCTGGCCTGGTTGCTGCCACCTACTGGTCTCTACAAAGAGAAGTTATCAAGTGGGTGGGTGAGAGAAATCTCCCCATATTCTATTTTGGTTTGTGAATGACTTTGTATTTTTTGTCTTTATTTGCTTGCTTGCTTTTCTTGGTTATAGGGAGCAGGAGCTGCGTGGGGTTTTTTTATTTGCTATTTCCCCCTCTATGGGAGTGGGTGCTTTACCTGTTTGATTGATTTTCTAAAAGATTGTTATTTGATGAATTTACCATTAAAGCTATGTATTTTGGTGGAAGTTTGTGGGGTTGGTTTTGGGGGGGGCTTCTGTGGGAGGTGAGCCATGAGGGTGGACTTTGTGGCAGTGTCACTATGCCATGGGTCTGTGGGTGGTTACATGGATGGGAAGAGCTTGTTGCAATTTTGTCATTTTTTCATGTTGCAGTGTTGCTAGATGCTTTGATGAGTGAGTGTCTTTGTGTGATTCCTTGGTTCTTTTTCTATTGTGTTGTCCAGGTCTAGAGAGTTTGTTGTACGGTGTGGGTGACACTGAGTTCATACTGTTATTTTGACTGTGATTATAAAATTAGTGTCTACATGATAATTTTTCTTTCCCACGTACTGTTATCTACTTTTGGAGTAGATTGATTCTCTTTTGTCTTACTTCTGCTTCTTTATTATTTTTAGTTTTGACAAGTTCTTTAGGGCTGTAAGAACACCAAAAGACACAAATGGGAAACCCAAAAGAGGCTTTCCCTTTCGTTTAAAATGGTACATGAAAAATACAAAAACAAAAGTGGCATATTCCAAAAGACTCTGAAATGAAAGAAATAAAAAACTAATTGCTGTGCACATCCCTAGGTACAACACACACTTCTGGAATACTGGACTGAGATATTAATCACATCCAACTTTTCAGCAACAGCAACCAAAGCCTATTAATATTTACTCAGACATAAATGCCAGATTGTCACTGTCAGATTGGCCTTCCACACTAGACGCTGTTCCAAGACTCAGAGCACATTACCATAGTCTCTTGAGACTGAAGGATGCCTACTAAACGCCAGCTGGTAAGTGGTGATTCAGCCTATCCCAAAATGTTTCTAGCAATGGAGATCCCACTACCTTCCAAGGATTCTGTTTTAATGCTAAGCAGCTCCCACTGTCTAGAAGCTCTTCCTGATGTTTTGACAAAATTCCATTTCAAATGAGCATCCTTCATGTACTGATGCAGGGACTGGATTCATGCAGGGACTGGACAGTCATACATCATACTGATGCAGGGACTGGACAGTCATACATCCTCTGTGCTGATGTATCAGTTGGCTACACATCCCATGGTTGCACTATTGGCCTCAAAGAGTTTATTTAAGGCAATTAACCCCAGATACCCTTGTTGCTGCTTCCTGATTTCTTTTAACTAGCTGTCTCATTGGTAAATGGATGTTCCACATAAATGTCACCTACTGAAAATTACTGCTAATATGCCTTTAAATACAATTTTTTTCATAAGCCACTTTTCTGAAGGGAAATTTATCCTTCTACACAGTTGGAAGAGCACAACAAGACATTAAAATCCAAATTCCTACAGCCAACCCAACTGTTACTGCATTTTATGGCAAAAGAAAGCCACTACCAAGCAGGTAAAAAACTCTTGTTTCAAAGAACTTGTGAAAAATCAAATAGAATTCAATTTTTCCTCGAGCCATTTAGGAAAAGTTAACAGCGTTTTTTCCCCCCGAGAAAAATGGCAAATACATTTCATCACCCGCTACTAAAAATCCCAATTAAATCTATTTCAAATAAATCCTTTCCTTGTTTAAAAAGGCAGTACATTATACCTAAAAGGGGCTGGTAGTATTGACTAAAACATGGTCCTTTTAGAAATATGAAAAAAGATTCCATTGTACGGCGAGCACAATTGTTTCCCCCCACATGAGAGAGAGACATATGTACACACACATACATATTTTAGGAAATAAGTTTTGATTATCATAACCACTAATGAGCAATTAGCAGTTCATCAGGAAGTGTCATATTTGGCCGACGTAGGCACAAAAAATAATATATTGGCTGAAATTCTGTTGCTTTGTTACACAAACAGTGTAACTTTTAGGTGCAAACTGTCATACTTTAACAAATCTACACAGACATCTGTTGCACTCCAAGTTATGTGACTCAGTATGCAACAGATAATGTCCACAGACATTAACGTACAGCAAGTCACTTCCAGGTTTTGGGTAGCTTTTTTTTCATAACTGTACAACAGGATTCCATTTGCTGCCTCTGCATTTTGTGGTTGCAAGAAAGACAGTTAAATATCTATGCACTGTATTTCAGTGTCCAGTCCTTTATAAGTTGTTTCCCAGAAGGTGGTGCTGCTGTTCCACCTGTAGTCACTGGGATGTAGACTGTCACAAAGATCCATCTTATGCTATCTTAAGGACTGCTTCATCTACTGAACATTCCTAAAGGTCATCACCAAAGGCTCTGCTACTTGAACCATTCTTAGTAAAGAACTAGTTTACAGGTACTAGAGAAAGGGGTGTCATCAGAGTTGTGAAATTTTCTTCTAGGGAAGTTCCACCAATCTCCTCTTTTTCCAGGTGAAAGCACTGGGAATATGCAGGACACCACTTGACCCTGTCCCTCCTAGAAATAGTGTTTTCCCTGTTTTCTTAGGGTTTAGAGGTACATTTACATTTACCATATCTTCTTTTGTTGATTCAAATATCAGAGATGGAAAAAGTTATTTTTACAGTACTGCTTCCATAATCCCTTATCCTAGCGCTTTTTGGGAACAATAGTAAAAAAACTGTTTTTTCTCATATTTGGTAGATCCTTAGAAGTCACAGCTGAAGACTAATACAGTGTTTTCCCTCTTTTCTCTCCAGAGACAGGGACAAGAGATGTATTAAAAGGAGCTTTTTTAGACCAGTCCACTTATTCAAGTATACTTATTCCAACTTCTGAAAATGGACTATAGGGTTGTAAAATTTATAAATTTCTGGAATTTTTAATGTTAGTTTCAACAGCCGAGGACCATGCTTCTGATTAAATTCATCAGGTGTTTATGTAATTTATTTTGGGGCATGAACTTATTAATTAATTTCTTTGTTACATCCCAAGATCACTGTAATATTGGCTTCAAAAACTTACCATTATCGGGAACAACATGAAATTTGGTTACTGGTTTTACATTTTCTTTTACTCTTACAGGCTTTTTAGACTCTTGATTCTGTCCATGCTTTTCCTTCTCCTTTGGTGATTGAGGAGACACTGTTTCTACTGTGTCAGTAGATTTTGACTGGTGTGGTCATTCCATTAAAGAAGAAGAAACAGTGATTAATTTGTGAAAACATGAAATATATATGTGTGTAAATGTTTTCTTACTATCAATATCTGTATGTTCTAATCTTGACATCATTGTGATCTGGCTTTATTGTGGAATAGCAACATACCTGGTAACGTGGGAATTACTTTAGAGCGGCATCACAAAAAGTCAAGAAGAACAAACTGAAGTGCTTCATGTTTTTTCTGTTCTTCTGCCATGGCTGAATCAAAATGTTTGAGTACCACTATCATCACCCCAAAACTGATCTCACATCTCTTGAAATTAGTCATGGTGGTTAACCATGAAACATATATTGGATACTTACACTGCCCTTAGATTTTCCAGATCCACCAACAAGAGGTAGTGAGGATGCTTTTGAACTATAAAGATAAATAATCATAATTCAGGTTCTAATCTCTCCATACATTCCAAGGACAATGAATTACTGTACCAAAGCAGAGCCACACATACCTAGCAAACATGATGTCTGAAAGCAAGGGATTGTATATTATACAATATTTTGCAACAGAACTCTTGTCATAAATGCATGAAATTAAATCTCATGAAACTCCATCTTTAAATCATTTAAATTTTGTTTTGAAAAGTAGGCTAGTCCTGGACTAGGACTGGAGAAATCCAGTTTCTGGTCCCCAAAGAGCCACAAAACTCTCTAGGTGATCATAGGTTATGCATCTCAATCTCTCTTTCTCTTCTTCTCCCTGTCTGACCCACTTCACTACATTGTTGTAAGGACAGTGAACAGGAGATATATTGCCTCAAGCTAAATGGAGGAAAAAGCAGGCTATCAATGTAACTAGTTGTTATAATTACTTTCTAAAAAGTAATCCTAACCACTGCCAGTTAGGTGTTCACCCAAATGAATATAACATATGGACTAGGCTATCAAGGACTCACATATCAGAAATTACGTCCTTTTTGTACCTACTTATAGACTCTAAATTTATTAGAATCCCATCTATAACAGATACAGCAACACTTTTTTGTTGTTGGAGACATTTGGGTTTACTACACTGAATTATTAGAACATTTGTTCATTTAAAAAAGTATAAGCCGTAAATATGGCTAGTGCAGAAATACATGAACTTACCCATAAGATCTCCTCGTTGTGGATTTGCTGAAGATTAATTCACTATAGGGCAGCTTCTTAAATTTATCTCTACCGACTGCTACATAAAACTGCCCATTTTCCAAATCCAAACCATTCTCTACAAGTTTTCCATCTAAAGTATAGAGCCTGAAAAATAAATACAGTACAGTATAACAATTTCATACTGAGCTTTTAACAATTGCTGCTATTTAACTGATATACCATACTCCTGCATTCCAGAAAAGGTATCACTTTATTTGAGCAGCTTATGAGCCTTCTTTTACACTGTAGTCAGATAAATCAATTAACCTGTGTCTGTGATTGCTATCATGGGAACAATGTTAACTAAACAGGAAGAACTTCTTAGCAAAACCAGTTGCAAAGCACTCCACTAGCTAAGTGTTGTTCTTATGTATTCAATTAAATATGTCTTGGAGAAGTCATCTATAAAGCTGGACACAGAATAACAGCCTAATGCAGCCACTTATATTTTACAGGCTGACTTTATAAAGGGCATTTCATGTGATCTATATCAGAACTTTGGAGCATGTTGTATAGAGTTCCTTTTTTTTCTTTTCCTACAAACTGCAACAGTACTTCTCATTAGCTGCAACTGCTTTTGAAATGTTGTCATCAATAAAACTGTCAAGCTATTAACCTAAATCTATCTATTTGAAATTACAAGAATAAGAAAATGCAAATATTATGTAATCTATACTATTATGTAATTCATAAATGACATATAATGCATAAGGCATGTATGCAAGTTGCTAATTCACTTTTCCTTAAAACACAGTCTTTTAGACTACCTGATTTTCTTTGTGTGTGTGTTATACCATTTGCACAAAGCCTTGGCTAGAATAAGAAACTCTGAATGACTAATAAACGCCCACAGCTGATGACATCATCACATTTACACAGTATGATTTCAGCCTGTGTCTCATAACTGACTCAGAAAATACTGGTATTAACTTTGAGAACTAAAGCAGATCGTTCTCTTTGAACAAATACATGAATGAATTTCACAATTTCACTTACAGTGTTGCACAATGCAGAGTGCAATGGCAACCAAGGATGGTTGTGCTGACTAGTGACAGTGGGAGGATAGGCAATACAGAAAGAGAGAACCAGGTTGCAGAAAGTCACCTGCCCCATAAAGTTTCTTTTACCTACTCAACCATCTAAACAAGCCAATTTGCCTCCTGACTTCCCAATGTAATAGATTTTAAGTGTCAGGTGTACTGTGACCCACGTTATCCAGCCATTTTTGAGTCATTGTGGTAGTAGTGGTAGTTATATGAATTGATAATCTCTTTTTACATATGAGAAATATTACACACAAATCCTACCCTCTGTCTTGTGACTCATGTGTATAATTGAGGAGGAAATGTACATATTATTATTCAGATTACTTTCAGCTATAACAAACCTGTAATGTTGCATTCATTTACTTAATGAGGAGTTTTATCCTTATCAGAATCAGAGACTTTACTGGAACCTTGACTAATGCTAATTCTGTTACCATAAACAACAGTAGCTAAGCTGTTAATTATTAAGCAAAAATATATTTCACTAACTTATTTAGTGTGTTCTCTTTACATTTTAAGAAACTGAATTCAAAAGCTGGTTTTATAAGAAAAAAAGTTTCACAACAAATATACAATGCATGTAGAACCACATACAGGTCTCTTATCAGAAAGATGTAACCATGCATAATTGGTAGCAGTTTCTAGTGTCACTTCTGAACATGAAGAAAATACACAAAAAAAGTTGGGGCACTTACTGACAACTTCTGTCAAACACTGTAAAATGCGAAGGCCCAGTTTATCATGGACTGATTCAGGACCAAACAAAATAAGGAGTTATGTTTAAATGCATTTATTGTTCATATGGTTTGGCAAATATGTGATGAGAGGGGGTGAGTGAGGAGCATGGCATGTTGGCAACAATAGTTCTGATTGGCTGGGAGAATCTTAGGAAATGGAGTATTGGTGAAGTCTGGAAACAATCTGTTGTGAAGAGATTGGGGAGAGGGGTGGTTTTGGAGTCTGGGGGCTCAGTGAGGAGTTTGAGAGAGAGACTGGAGCAGGGGAGAAATAATAGAGAGAGTGAAGGAGAGTGTGGAATGAATCTAAAAGCCAAGGGATAAACAACATTCTTTTAACAATGTTATTTTAATAAAACCTTATTTGTTCTACTCAAGCTGAATAATGTGGAGTTCAGCCCCCCCCCAAATGGGGGCTGGCTATGTGGAGAGTGGCATAAGGGCTTAAACGAAGGAACAAATTTATATACACACAGGGGAAACTGAAGGTCAGTAGCAGCAAAAAGAGGAAGAAATCAGTGGAAATTATTAAAGAAAATATGTTTATTTGTGCACCGATTTAAAGAGATAGTTACTTAAGTAGTCAAGTGACAAATCAAAGGTTTGTCATCAGTATTAGAGAGAAAGGGTGTGACAGATCTCTGTCAGGCTAACCTCCAGGAACAGCACTGCAAAGTGGGCTACAGTTTTCATGAGGAAACTACTCAGGCTGAATTAGACCTGTAAGCTAGAGATTCTCCTCTTCTGGTCTGCATCCTTTGCCACCAGAACCTCCTCAGTTTCTATCTGGTGGCAACAGCCCAACCCACGGCTTTGTCTTACCTGTGCACTGCTCCACTTCGGAGTGTGACTTTTTCTGTAACCATTTCAAGGACACGATCCCACTGAGTTAGTGCTTTTCTTGGGATGAAAAGACGCACGGCGGGGCTTATAAGGTCACCATTAGCAATCAGGCTAAAAAGATAATGGAAAGTTACAAACAGTTGGATCATCTGTGAAAGAATGTCCATCAAACTACCTATCTGAAAATCCTACTTACAAAATACTGCATGGTTCCTGTAGTGGTTTTCGAAACCGTGCAGACACATTGATTCTACTGTGCGTAACTGGCTTTACCTGAAAAGCCCAAAAAATAAAAAATCAATGATGGGTAACTTCTATAACACTGTATTGTTTTTCTCATTACCAGTTTTTCTAACAGTACCTTAAGAGACTGAATCTCCATCAAGCAAGCACATTTCACAGCAGTGTGTGATAGTCGTCTTTTTATATGAGCTTCTAAATTTGTTTTCCTCTTTTCATGAAACCCATTATTTTTCCTTTTCACTATGCCTCTATTTCTAGCTATGATTTGGCCTGAACATCAGAATTAGTGCCCTACTAGCACGCTAGTAAGTGTTGCAGTGCCATGGGAGTTTTGCTATTTAGCTGCTTCTCATAAGCAGTAACTTGGAAAGAAACATTTTTTTCACCTGATAATACGGCTACAATCTATGTTCTTCATATCAAATACTGTCAAAATATTTCTTAAATGAGACCTAGATTTTGTCATTATGTAACTTGGTAAATGAAGCAGAGAGCTACATAAGCCTTGTGCCTACCATGTGTATTTATTTATTTATTTATTTATTTGATTTTTCCCCCGCCCCTCTAGACAACGTCTACTCGGGGCGGCTTACATAGGCTAAAACAAATTACCATTCATAGTTCACTCTTCCTCTCCTCTGCACTGTGATAGTTCCTGAGATAGTTTACCATACTTTCCTATTACAACCAAAGCAGGCAACTGACTACCAGAATAAACTACAAGTTGTTTAGACTTTCTTTTCAGATCCTCATTTGTTCTGAACATGGTAACTACAGATGCCCTCTTTCACTGTAACAGAATCTAGATTAATGAACCCAGGAAGTCTTCAGCCGTTGCATCTGAGAATGAAAGACACTTACAAGAATGGAGCATGTGTGCACAATGATACATTGCAACCAGACCAGGACCCAGCATCCTTTGTACCGCTCATATTGCCAATATTTTACATTTTTTTGGTCACCAGAGGACACAAGGGGCTTTCAAAATCAAAACCTTTGCTTCACTTAAACCAATTTTCAATTACAGTAATAAAAATGCAGTGTGTCAATCTCTACAGTATACAACCCTGGGATTAAAAAAAAACTTTAAAAATTAAACATGCAAATCAGGGGGCAGACCTCAAACTGGTGGCAAACCTAAAAAAACAGCCTTCAGCACTGCTGAAGTCATCCAGAGGAGGAAACGATAAAATGAACAGTCATGAAAATATATATCTGCACACATATGGGTCTATTTGGAATGTAACACAAAGCAAAGTTATACAAATGAGCAACAGTAAGGCTCATATACCATTCCCTCCTTTGCAACCCCCAGTGCAGCTGAAATTGTGCTCTTCCAGTGTCAGAGGACTAAGGCCCTTGGTAGAAATATCAACTTCCACAGTTTTTCCTATGTGGTAGGGCAATGAACTGGAAGCTCTTGCACACAAGTGCCCTGAGATCCAATTTCTGGCTGCAGGCTCAACTACTCATATTTTTTGTGAACACAAGATCCTTTTCAGGAGCCAAAAAGTAACACAGTAAGTAACGTAGAACCCCAGAGAAACAAAAATCATGTAAAGGTTCTAACATCAAACATAGTTTGTAATCTGTTCTAGCAATCAGATCCTAAGTCCAACTGTGTAGCAATACTTTGATTGCAGAAGTTAAATACCAATTAGATTGCAGTTCCCAGTTGTATGTATGCCAACATGTTCCAATGGAATATTGAAAGTTAGAAATTTTAAGGTTTTAAAATTATGTGACTGGTCTAAGGACCATAAATAAACAACAACAACAACAACAACAAAACAACAACAACTACTACTACTAGTAGTAGTAGTAGTAGTAGTAGTATAGTCCAACTTATTCTCCTTATTTTCAGCTAAACTGCTATAGATGTTACTCAATTGCTGGTTGATGGGAAATAGGAGGTATTTTTATCTGTTGGTACAAGTGGCCCAGCCCACAGCATTTACACCTCCCTCACAGCAACTTATGTATGTAGTATCATTTCATGTCTAAACATGTTCTCTTTTGACAAAACTTTATTGTGAAATGTTAACTGAGAATATTGAGCTGGATCTGTTATGAGAAATAGGCTGAGTAGGTGGGTTCCTGTATCCTACTACCCCAATGGTTCCCCAGAATATGGGCTAGAGCTTGCTCCTCAGCTGACAGACAGGTGAGTCAGCCAATGAGGAAACCCATTGGTCTGTGCTGTATCAAAAGCTGTAATCAATGCATATGTGGCATTTGGTATTCCTGTATTGATTCTTGTCTCTGGAGTGTTTCTTCTTCCTCCTCCCCTTTTACTGCCCTATTCACTGGTAAGGGCACAAGAGAAGGGTTCTTAATTTAAACCACCATCTTCAGATTCATTATCCTCTGCCAATGTTGCTGCCACCACCATTCCACTCAAGATTTTATCTTTTTTACATAAAACTTTAGGGATGGCAAGATAAACTTTGAAAATTCCTTTCAAAATGCAATTAAAATGAAACTCTGAAAGTAGCTAGAAAACAATGTGGGGGTATACCACTAAGTAACTTTGTTCCTATTTGTGTTGTTTTTCAAATGTTACTTTCTTATATTCTGGAGGGGGGGGGGAATGGCGGAATATAATACAAGTGACAATATTATTTTTAACATTATTTCCAAACTCTGACTGAGAAGCACAAGAGTTAAGCACATTCTCCCACCATGAATTGTTATTAAATATATTGCCCAAGTATGGATCAGCGGCAAAAATGTTTATACATCATTACCTACAGCCATATCAGGGCTGATGTGTAAATGGATAGAAAATGCTTGGGCTTCACATTTGTGTAGTCACAATCACAGGAACAGCAACAAGGATAATTGTTCCAGGAGATGAGAGAAGCACAGGGCTGAATTCAAGGTATTTTCAAAAAGAGGGTTTCGAGCATTGCCACACAGGAAGATACCAGCATACAACATCTTTAACTGATTTGCTCTCAGACAGAGGAAACTTTGGGGAGCAAGGGAGAATTATAAATAGAAGACACTGTCTGGGGCTTCTAATCACATAATAAAAGCTTTGTTTCTCCCCAAACAAGAGATCACTATTGTCAACAGTTCTCTTGGGGATGTGCACACAAAGCTTCTGCTTTTGGATGGGAGTATCATCTGCCAGCCCCATCAACTTCTGCACAGTGTGTCGTTCTATCAGGATCATCAGGAGTAACATTGCTTTATGAGACATTTATCCTCATATTATAATAAACATTATTTTTGCTGATGTACAGGTTCTCATATCAACAACAAACAAATATGCAACACAATATTTAACCACAACCTTAATATTTTGTGTGTGTATGTGTGTGTGTGCTAAATGTATGTGTGCGTGTGTGTCAAAATTAAGGTTGTGGTTAAATGTTATATTGCATGTTTGTACATTATTGCTTCTATTGACATGCACTCTGGTATATAGTACAATATAAATAAATAAATATTATTCAAAATTGCTAAGAAATTGTAGCAACAAATAAATATCCAACATAGTACTTACATCTTCCAGTGCTAACTGTTGGCAAAAACAAAATGACATATTCAGCAGTTAACTCATAAACTCACAATGCAGAATCAAATGTAGTAAAAACATATTAAAGATACACCGATTATCATCTGTTTATTGTCAACAGTTGTTTTAAAGTAAGCTATTTAAATACTAAGGAATGAGGCAATCTAATGATTTAGGGCACTCAGAATAAGGTGTCCTAAAGTTGTTCACATATATGTTAACTCATTACTAAACCCATAAACATACAATATAATAAATATAAACAAGGTGCAAGCAAAGTTTCTCCAGTTATTTTGTAATGTGCAACAAATAACTTCAATAAACAGCCAGAACTTGTAAATTAAACACCATAAGTATAAAGCAATCCAGGAAAAAAAGCCAACATACATTTAAAGAATGCAACTAGAAAATGAAGCAATGTTGATTAGAGCAGCAGCATTGTTTTTCAAGTCCTGCCACAGTGTTCTTGGTAGTGACAGCCTTCCATGGCATTCAGCAGGTTCAGCACTGAAAAGACACTAAGAGCTCTGGCTTGCATTCCGGACACTAAAGCATGGACCCATAATCTGAAGGAAGAATCTGTAACAGATCAGTGCATTTTCTATCTTAAGGACAATTACCATCAGGTGTGGTGAGGTGATCAGTATGAAGCAATTTAGAAGTTCTAGCACATGAGTTGGGAAATACATATATTCGCGAAGGCTTTACATCTAGAGTGGTTTTTGTTTTTTTGGTTTTTTTTGTTTTTTTTCTTCTTTGATTGTGATCACAAGAAGAAATGGATCACAATTTGGACTGCTTATGGGCCAGTGAGGTGCACTCTGTTTGTTGTACTTATATGATTCAAAGGGAAATACGCTCCAGCCTGGCCCTGATCTTTACCCAAGTTAGATCTTTTTGGTCCAGATGTAGGGCTTCTATTGGGCAGGGGCGCTAGGCTGGAGTGAATCCCAGAAGACAAAAGGATCAGTTTAGGGGAGATCAGTTACTTTGAAGAGACTTTTTCTAGTATAATCAAGAATATGCCTTTGCAACTTTCTGATCAAATCCAAATTTCTTTGTTAGTATGTGAGGTATTCAACTGTACAGACAAGACCCCCTGAAATGCTAGAAGGCCATATGGCTCTAGTGGGGTAAAATGCCAATAAAGTATTAGTTAGAACTATCACTTCTGCAGCAGCCTGTGGGCAGTTCATCCACTGACTGACTCCTCCCCCCAAAGTACATGAAAATGGTCTCAGAGATGCCAAATATGCAAGCAAACAAAAGAACAAACCCATGAGATCATGGAAATGATAAAACAATAACAAATATATAAAGGACAACATTTCAGTCCATTAAGATGTCTTTAGCTCTAAAGGGAAAGTCAAACATTGGTTAGAAGAGCCGTACTGACAATTAACATGTGTATAACTGAAATCATGGTAGTCACAGTAGCAAATTACTGCTAATTAATCATGCATCGGTTGCTTTTCTAGTCACACACAAACTCACAAAACAGGCACATGATGAAGAATACAACCAACACCTCATTAATTAGTGGCAGTTTGCCACAACAGTTTATGCAATTTCATTTAAACATATTCCATCCAGAATGTTCTAATGGATGCAGCTGTCACAATGACCAAAGAGAAGCCAATTTGAAAGGAAGGGACTGTACACTTTGAGTACACACAGTAGTACTGTGTGTGTGTTTTCCTGCAAACAAGCTCAGCTCTAGAATGTTCCAAAACAGGTAAAATTATTTGTGTGATTCACAGACAGCAAGAAGAACAAGGAAGGTTCATCTTCACTTGTTATACTAAATCATCTTTGCTCCAGAAAACTTTCAAACTGTTGCCTCAGAGGCAGTCAAGAGGAACCTAAGGATCAACCATTGGCTGAGGGAACATGCACACTGGGAAGGGGCTAGACTAACAGCTTCTGGGCTCTAGAAGGTTCCAAAGAATGCTTATATAGTCTCTGTGAATCACAGAGACCTTGAAGAAGAATTACAGCTCCTCTGCACCTGACATTCTAAATCATCCTATTATGGGAAGGAGTATTAATTTGACAGTAGATTGTCATGTGGAATGTCCCAGATCCAATTCCCTCCCAACAGATTATCACCAGGTAGGACTGGGAAAAACTCCTGCCTGAAACTCTAGAAATCCACAATGTTAATAATACTTGGCTAAATGGATAAATGATCTGACCTAGTCAAAGTCCATTTGTTATTTTCCTGTCTAGGTCTACCTCTGTCAAACACATTCATCAGTTAGATATAACACTGGCTGCATTGTTCTTAAACACAGAAACTGGCCTGCTGTCGTTACTTATTAACCAAATAAATATCTTCATTCTTCATTTGTTCTTTTTTTCTTTTCCAGATCCATTTACATAAAATATTCATAGTAAATTGAGACTGTAAAATATCTCAGCTGATATTTTGTTCCATTACCCAGAACTGAACAAGATTTGAACTTTTTGGTACTTAAGTTCTTGGTTGAACTCATTTTATAATACCCTAAAGAGGAATCTTTTGTTCATTTTTCCTTCTTAGAATCCAGTTCTCCCCATATCTCAAAAAAATAAAAGTATCATAGTTCCCATAGCTATCAACAGTCCTCAGAGATGATTATTGGCTACTGACTCAAATGTGTTTTCCCCCCATTTCTGCTCTTAAACAGACAGAATAAACACAGGCATGTGTGCATGCACACACTTGCTTCCCTGCAATGAACAAGTAAGATTTCATTTGCATTCTTCACTGCAGAGATAATCTCTGCCAGGATACAATCATAAATAATAATAAGGCTTTGTACGTTAACACTCTACTTCATCAGATGTAATTAATATTAAGATATAAGTGTAAAATGTTTAAAACCGAAACAAATTATTAAAATCTGTCAACAAGACTGAACCAAATTCTACCTCTGATATGGACAGAATTCTACCTCTGATATGCTCTTTGAGCCCAGGATCACCAAAAGGCACACTAATTTATATTAGCTAATTTACACTAGGTGTTATATTATGTCTGGCATTTCATAATTCAAACTCTTTCAGAAAATCAAATCTTTAGTAATAGTAATATAGCCCAACAGTAAACCTGCCAAACAAATCTACTTTTGTGTTAGTATTAGTAACATATGACATATGTCTAAATGTGGAGTCACAAATTGGATTCCTCATAAAAATATTCTCATTAAAAGCTTTTTTAAACATACTATATTTTGAAGATTCCAACACAGCATACATATTAAGGTGATCAGACTGTTCAGTGAACCATGACCCAGCCAGTTGAATACAATGGCTTATTATACTTTGTCCTCGCTGGTAAACTGAGCATAAATGTTAGTATTCCCTTAGCATAGTCTAGGGTCAAGAAAACCAGAAAGTCCCAATACATGTTCTTGCTATCAGGTTCAAAGGCTATCAGGGAAATGAAAAGAACATTCAAGGTTCACTAGTCAAAAACAAGGCAGACTAAAATCATAGTTTTTTCAGAACATTCAGAACAAAGGAAACATTTATTGAGATTTGTGAAATCCTTGTCTTTTGCATCATATTTGATAGCTTCCAAAAGTATTAACTGCTTCTACAAAATTTGTTGTTATCCTGTATTCCAAATAGCAATGGCTGCAGAAATCTACTCTTTCATAGTGGACTCACATTAATTTTGAGATTAGCCCCATTTATAATCAAGTTTCAACTTGTATTCTTCTAATTACATTGCTGTTCGATGTTTCCAGGACCTGACATAGTAAAAAGAGCATTGTGAAAACAGTCTACAAGCTGAAATTGCATTCAGAAAAGGACTTTTCAATATCAGGGTCTAGAGCCAATTGGTAGTCCCAGCTAGAGTTAACCCACTGAATCAATTGCTGAATGATAAATCAATATTTATATGAATCCCATTGATTCCAGGGGGTACTGTACTCTAATTGGGACTACCAAATGGATTCAGACAGAAATGCTAACAAGGCTCTGGCAGAGCTTTGAGTTCTATAACAAAGTGCTTTCAGTAATATAGTTTCAAATTTGCTTTCAATTACTTTTGCAAATGTTAGCAAAACAAAAGCAAAGTAATCTGAAATTACAGGGATGACGAGAACTGAATTCAACAGCTAACTTGAACTCAGGAGAGCAACAACATCTGCAAGAACTGGACACTGAGATCCAGACAAAACAAAAAAGATGTCTGTTTGGTCAGAGTTGACATTAATCTTATTCAAAAGAGAGGAAACGACAATATTAGGAGTGGGAAAATTCCAGAGGTCCAGGGGCTACATGCACATAGAGTGAGCAAGACCTTGGTGGGACACACCTGAAGTCACATCTGATTTTGGAAAACATCCCCAACTTAAAATAACTTAGGAAAGGAATGTGGCAAATTTGTGACTCATGATCCCAAACAAGGCAGCTTTCTGGATTATTTTCCTTCTGTTATAGAAGACTCCCAGTCCTCCTGTAATGATATAACTGAAAATGTGAGAATATTTATCAGCCATGAGGCATTTCAGAATGTCCTCTCAAACTGAATGTATGCATTTTTACCTGCTGATTTTCAGGCCTCATATCTATGCCTACTATAAGATTCTGTTTTAATGGTGGCTAATTAAGAATTATATTACTGATGTCTTTATATATATGGCCCAATAATTTCCCCACATGTTTTCACTGTCACTGTCAACCGTTCATGCTTCCTTTTCCCCATCAGGCAAGCATAAGACTCTATAGGATGCATAAGTACAACTCCACATAATACTAAATCCTGAACTCTTGAGCCAAGCAACCTAACACACCTTCAGCACTGGATATGCTGTCTACAGCTGATGGGCACTGAAGGTCTACAAGCTGTCCACTCTGATATACACAGTAGTAGAGTACTTAACAATGGATTGGGTTGGTGATGCTACACGACTGCAGAGGACAGTTTCCTAGATGATGTCTTCCTACTTTTAAAGGACTTTAAAGTCTGATTTAGAATACTTACTTCAGGACCAGGGACCCTGAAGCCTTCCATCAACAGGGAGCATCTGAACAGCACTCTGAGCTGGCACACGTGTTACCTTGTTACAATTTTAACCCTTAATCCATTCAAACTATAGTTAACAAATTAAGATTTTTGTCTAAATTAGCATATGCAAATTTTAGGCAGTTTTTTTTCCTTTTTAACAGTGAGTTTCCTTTTGGGGGGGAGGGGGGAGATATATAGCTAAGTACCCTGCACTGGGCTTTTATAACTATTGCAATTGCAGTACACTTATAAATCAGAAAGAATAATCTTTATTTTCTTAGACATTCTGGTCAATACTGCCCAAATTCTCAAGGTATTAATTTTGAAAGAATAACGCTGTTTGTATGGCTTGTTATGCTGATTAGGTTACCAAGCTACAAAACTGCCAGACAATTTAGTGTGGTGCTCCTACATAGTTTTAAGACATTAATCCAGTGTTCTAGAAGCTAGATGCCCTAATCCAGTATTAGAAATCCTTTTTAAGGATTGTCCTTTTAATCTTTCATTCTGTAACTCGCTATCCAGAAAACATAATGAGTTACACTTTTTATAGAAAACAGAAGACTCATAAAGCAACAAGCATCACAATCTGTAGAGCCCCTTGTTTTTTATATGTTTAGTTCTAGAAAGAAAAACAGTCAGACAATTGTTCACCTCAGGATAACATAAATGATTCATCTTCCAGAAGCTTTTGAACAAAGCAAATTTACGTGAGAAGATCATCATTAGAAGCAAATTTCATGGAAAATAAAGGCTAATTTATTACATAACACAACACCCTCGTAAAACAAGACACAGCTATTTTGTGCACATTAATAGTAAAGACTTCACTTCTTTGGAGCATGGTGAGATTCACAAACCTGGATAGTTTTTTTTAAAAAAATAGTAAAATTAATGGAAGGCAGGACTACCAATGGCTACTTATCATGATGCCAGATTCAGAGCCAGAGGCAACATGGTCGTGAATTCCAATTGCTAGGAAACAACAGTAGAGAAAAACTATTATCCTTGTGTTGTACATGTGGGCTTTCCATGTTCATCTGGTAGGCACCAGATAGGTCTTTGGTCTGATCCAGCAGGGTTCTTGTTATGTTGTTACGACTGAGGTTGCTCCTTGGGAAAAATCAAGATTCAAGGAAGGGTTCATTTGATTTATAATCCAGTTCAGCCTGCTCCTATAGCTACTGCAGCACAATAAAAGACTATTACCCAGTGTGAGTTAAGAGTAATAGAACAAAAAATGACAAAAAATACCAAGGACTATAATCCGAATTCAATTACAGTTATTTCCTAACCGCAGAGGTGCAACCAGTAGGCAATCTGAATATAAGCAGCACATTTCAGATGAAGTAACAAACTAAGATTTTCTACCAACCATGATTTACCCCTTCTAATATCTTCTTACAGGACTTAGTAAATGGAACTTAAATGGGACTTACTATAAGCTAAGCATAACAAGCTTTCTAAAAGCTAAGTCAAAATAAGAATGCTACCTAAAAGCTTAATTTGTCTGCATCCCTCTGGACTAGACTTTATCACAAGACTTTATTAGTTGTAACAGCATAGATTACCTCATTATTACTTTCTGGAGGTCTTTTCTTTGGCTCTCCAATGTCCAAGTAGCTGGAAATCAACCAAAGAGTACAGATTATTTGCAACAAATTGTTCTGGTTCACTTTTCACGCCAAAGAAGACTTGTTTTCCATTTAAAAAAAGAGTAGCTCTGTTCTTCATGGTTAGAAGGAAAACCTTGATGTTCTTGAAGATTGATTGATTGATTAATTGATTGATTTGTATAGAAGCTGAATTTTTTTTCTCCCTGACAACACAACTTTCTACAACTTCCTGGTAAAGCAAACAATAGCTAAACCATTCTATGTTTCTGTACATATGAGTATTTAGCATTTGAGGTAGTACCTTACTGAGGCAGAGACAATTTAATTAGCAAGAAAGTTAAGGCTGCAGTCCCATACACACTTACTTGACAGCAGGCGCTATTAATCATGAACTTACTTTTCAGTAAATACAAACATGACTAGGTTGTATTTTTCTGCATCCCATTTTTAATGTCTTTGTAACAGATAAAAGACAAAGAACCTAGAAGAACAGCCTTATGTACAGTATGTCTATTCCAAAGTGCCTCCCTGTGCATGCTGACTCAAAATTAAATCCTATTGAGGATTTATCACAAGCTAATTAATACTATTAATCCTACTTAGATATGTTTATCTCAAGGTGGTCTGATGCAAAATGTACAATGTTCCAGCACTTTTTAACTGCTGTTTAGAAAAAGAAATTTCAGTTTGCATGGCAAGCTATTCCTGCTGAAATGCTTTGTACGCAACTTTTTATGTAGATGTCTTCCCTCTCTTTTGCATCTGGCCATCACAAAATGTAGGATTTCAGTCTTAGATACACATGTCTCAAACTTTGATTACCAGCTAAACATCATCAGACAGCTTCACGTGTTCACAATTACATCAGTGTTACTAACAATGTTGGAACAATAATTTTCAGCCAATTGTTCTGACTCTTCAGAGACAAAGATTTTAATGGAAAATGACAGAAAGGTCTTAGAGACAAAAGATGTAAATGGGGGGCATGGAGACTAGGGGACAAGACAGAAGAACCCATCCATAAAAATTCTTCATTCTTCGCACATCAATAAATCATACATTTTCTTGTACCTCCTGTAAAAATGGAGGTGGTATATCATTCACTGTTTTACGAACTTCAAGCATCCTGTTTAACTAAACTAAAACAAAAAATAAAGAGAGAAAAGTATTGTGGCACCTTAACGACTAACAGACTGTTTCAATGTGGACTTTTGTGGATTACAATCCAGTTCCTCAGGCACTTAGATATTGTCATTTAAAGTGTCACAGGGCACTATTTCTAGGCTTTGGGGGATGGTTCAAAAGGTTTCTACTCACTTGAGTTTCTTGAAAGCCTCCCTGCCACCAGCGACATAGTGCTCTCCGCTCTGAATTTCATCTAGTTGCCGGATGCGGTGCCCACCACGAGGCGTGTATATATTTCGCACAGCTCCAAAAGAAGCATTCACACCACCTGTCACTTCTTTTAGGAAGACATCAAAACTTGATACTTTCTTCTCATGGATGACCACACGTCGCCCTGGGAAAAATGGATCTCCATTGCGGTACACCATCACACTCTTTACCACAGGCTGTGACAAACATGTTGCCTTGGTGCTGGGGCTACTCATAACTCTGCTTCAAACCCCTCTTCTGGCTTGGCTTCTAGCTTGTACTTTGGTTGGTACACCTGTTGGTTGAACAAGAATGGATTTATTTTCCCCCACCTCCTATCTCTGGCAGATTTGTACAGATTCCTCTTCACAGTACATCAGCTGCTTTTACACATACAGAAAGACAGGTGCACTGGGACTTCTACCAATGGTATCTTACTCCCTAGAGGAAACAGAGAGGCTCTTAGTTTCTCCATACAGTTCCAGTTCCAGTGCAGTTTAAAGCTTTTGCTAGGCAACCAGTTCTTGCCACTCTCTCTTAGGATTAATGGGAAAGCCATTAAGGGTTTCTTTTCCTACTTACATAAACTACTGATTCAAAGCAGCAAAAATGACTGAAGATAGAGAAGAAATCACATTACTCCCCAACTTTGTACCTCTGGACTACACAAAACTTTACATTGTAATCACGGAACACAGCATCTCTCCCTCCACAAATAGCTTCACTCCTCTTTTTCACTTTACCCCATTCTTCTATTTCTTATTCATCTACTTCACCCTCAGAATCAACCATTAGGTAACTTGCAAGGCCACAATGCTCCTAAAAGAGACAGCTAAGACAGCAAAATAAATGGAGAGGAGGGGGACATTGTTAAATATTAGAGGAAAGATATAAGTTTACTGTAAATTTCAGTTGCCACTATATCACTGAAAGTAGAAAAAAGATACAGAGGAAATGGGAACAGTGGGGACTGGACATTTTCTAGCAACTTTTATTTGCCAAATTCTATTCATATCCTAATAAAATGTTTTCAGTAAGATAAGAGATGCCACAGAAAGATGGCTTATGACTATGAGATGCACCAGAAATGTAAATATTATTATCAGTCCATTCAGAGTTGCTAGTCTTAGATCTGCCATCTCTGCAGCAAAACAGTATTATGCAGTCTTAGAATGAATGACTTGCCATTATCACTTCAGACATCAGGTAAAGGATATCAGATTGGCTTATCCTGAACATAACCCTGTAAATTTAAGAGTACTGTAGTACATCAGGTGACAAATGTGTATATGCCAGCATGCAGAAAGCTGGGAAACTTAATTCAGTTTTTTTTAAAGGAACTTAGAATGTGATTCCCTTACATGTGATGAGAGAATACAGCAGTATGGCTCTTAGTGTTGCTTGAGGATGCTAATTTAGGAATCTAAATTATATTGCTGCTGCTTCAAGGAAAATCTAGCAACAGGTCCGCTATTTCATTCTATTGCAATTCATTTATTCACAGGTCTGTCCTCTAACTTCAATGCACATTCTGCCAGACTTTGATAAACATATACCACACTAATTTCTTTAGCAAGAGGTCCTCAAACTCAAGCTTAGCAAGAAGCCATATATTCTGATTTGAAGTTTTAATGTCTGCATCAGATCCATGGGGTCTGCCTATGCTTGTGGTTGCTCAGTGGTGAGATGAAATCACTCTGCACATGGGCAGACGTATTGCCGTCCTATTTCAATTTCATACCGTCCAAGAGCTGGATGCTAGCAAGCACTGACCCAAATTTATTTTAACCGATGAATGTTCCATGGAATAATTCTCAAATGGGAGGAAAGAGAGGAACTGGGTTCTTTATCTTTCATGATGGCCCCCTCAGCTGTTCTTAGGGAGTCTATGGGGTGAAGCTTTAGGATCTCTCCGGTTCTCCCACAATTCAAACACTGCTAGGGATGCCCACGGCCTGCCTGGAGTGCCACCTCCCTCTCTTCAACTTCTTCCAAGGGAACATCAAAGCTGCCTAGTTGAGGGTCTCAAGTGACCACGAAATCCCTGTGCTCAGAGTTATTTCCCTCCCACGCCCCTCAACCTGAGGCAAGAAACCACCCTGCCCTTTTGCCTCCACGTGCTACTGTGACCAAGTCAGGAGAAACAGGAACGGAACTATGGTTGTTTCGAGCTGTTTCAGAACACGGCCAAACAGCCCGAAAAAACCTACAACGTCCATCGGATCCCGGCCGTGAAAGCCTTCGAGAGTACAAGGAGCGGTACTGTTGCCAGGTAGGTCCCTCGGCTTCCCCCTCCGTGGCGGTGCGACCCAAACACGCGTCTCGTCTTGGTCGTGTGAACGCCCGGCGAGACCCCAGGCAGGAAAAGAAGGCAGTCTGCAGGGCAAGCCGGGGGGGCGTGGCTTTCCGGAGCAACAGGATCGGAGACGAGAGAACAGCACCTGCGAGCCCCTGAGTCCTCCAAATTCGTCTTCCCGCTCTGACTGGGACGGCCACTGGCTCTTTCTCCACCTAGCAGCCCTAATGGCGCGTCTGGAAGTGTGGAAGGGGGGGGAACGACCCACGGCGGGGCGCTGGGGCTGCCGCAGAATACCTGGCACATTCTCGACGTGGGGCTTCCCGAGGCTATCGGGGAAGGGAGGCGGCCAGCACACGCTCCTGGCGGCTGGTTTTCTGCGGCTCCTGCCGCCCGGGGAACTTCTGCTTTCCAGGGGAGGAGGAGGAGAAGGCGACAGTATTATTATTATTCCTTCCCCACCCCGCCTCGGCCTGCCGTTTCCATGGCGACGCCCTAGCTCAAGAGCCAGGGGGAGTGTTGCAGCGCCTGCGAGAAAAGGGGCCCGCTACCTGCAACCCTTCGCCGGCTCCAGGGGCTCCCACGAAAATCCGGGGAGGGGGAGGAAAGCACGTCTCAGGGGCGACGGGGGAATATTTTAGGAGGGGAAACGCTCACAGGCCTGAAGGATCATGGGGGTCAGGGAGAGACCTGAAGGGGGAAAGGATCAAGAAGAATGAAGAAGGCACATTCTTGTGCTAGGTAGCAGAATGACATAAGGCGTTGGGATGATCCTGTAGGCAGGGCAAGATCCTGAAGGGTACCTGGGGGATTTGTCCGTGTGTGCTAAAAAAAGAAAAAAACAACGAAGGAGAGGTTCCTGGAGGGGAACATGGCAGTTGGGCCACTATCCTTGCACTTCAAGTTTCAAAAGTCAATTGGGTTCCTAACTGTCCCTAACTGCCATCCATAGAGTAACCAGCCTGTTAATATTATTATTTAATTAATTTATTTATATGCCGCCCTATCCATAGAGTAACCAGCCATATATATGCCCCCCACACTACCCAAAGGTCTCTGGGCGGCTTACAACATTTAAAATACAATAAAAATTCAGAACAATTAAAATACAATTAAAACATATATATAAAGATATTACTACTACGTACTACTCGTACTTTGGGAAATATCCTAGTTTTGTAAGCTCTGTACTTTATTTGTACCAAAGCATTGCACGATGTAAAACTATGGATGTACTGTATATAAAATAAGGCAAAATTAAAAACAAACATCAAGAGGGTGGGGGAGCAAGCTATCAGCAGTTTACTAACCCCATCTCTCCAGATATTTGTGGCAAACTAGATGTTATCCAAGGGACACTTGGAATAGACTCCTGAAAACTGCTGCTGTTCCAAGATGGATGTTCAGTGGGTGCTTTTCTAAGGCCATCATAATGGTCAACAACAACAAAAGTATGGAAAATACAAATCATTGTTCAATCTTTTGAAGAACACACTATTCCTCAGGCAAAATGGAAAAAATGAGCAGGATGGGAAAAACAAAGAAGAAAGCAGGGGTAGGCTAGATTTTGGGTTGTTGCTTGTGTGTTGTTTGTTACTGGAAGTAAAAAAGGAGCCATTTTAGTTTCCCTAGTGAAGGTATCCCCTTATATATCTTGGAAACATATCACAGCCACTTTCCAAGGGTTTTTCAAGTACTGTATTTGTTTTATGCCAACACAAGTATACATGCTTTTAATCTTATTCCTAGTTTCCTCTACTCTTGATCACAATGTTCCTCACAATGGTTTTTCATTTTTTTAAAAAGGAGAGGGATAATTGCAAGTGTCTCCTGTATATTATCTAGACAAGTCTGTTCCTTCAGTATATTATCTAGCTTGTCTTAAAACAGAAAAGGTCAAAATGGTAATTAATTCTTAATACAATCCTTGAAACAAGATCGCTCCTGTTTAGCTGCTCCCTGCAAAACACTATTGCATGTATTGGACATATAGTGGTCATCTATTATGCCCTAGTAAGCAACAGTGTGATATAGCAAGGCATGAGAGACCAGGAGTCGGATCTGAAATACAAGACTGACCTAGCAAGAACCAAAAACAAGCAAGCTTACAAACAAAAACCCAGAAAACAGCCCATGAAACACAACTGAAAGGATAGGCAAATTCTCAAGAAGTAGAAAAATATAGACTGCATATTTTGTGACCTTTTTTAGAGAAGAAAGGGATATATCATAATTGTCTTATACTGTACATACTAATGTGAATGTTCTTAGTTTATTGGTATATGCAAGAACAATTATACATATGAACTGCTGGATAGCTCAGTGCTTTAGGTATGGTTGGGAGTTTGATTCTCCACTTTGCCTCCTAGACAGGGGCTGGATGTGATGGTCCATAGGGTCCCTTCCAGCTCTGCCATTCTTAGATTATTGTTATCATCAATGCAACAGTTTTATTGCCCCTTCTTTGTAACAGCCCCTGAAGAAGCCAGAGAGTAATTAATGAGCTGGAATAGATTTTATTATTTTAGTAAACAACTCAATTCTACATCTTACAATGACAATAAATTATTATTATGTCTCCATTGGGCCAGACTCAGCCATATGCTGCTTGTCTTTAAACAATGCTACAAAATCTGTGGTCTTTCAGTTATTACAACTCTGCAATGCTCATTCTTTTCCATTGGTTACACTGGCCAGGGCAGATGATAGTTGCAATCCAACAATCTATGAGGGCCACTCTTTCCCCACCCTTGATCAATAGAATGTCGTATATTACCAAGAATTGGCTGCCCTTTCATGGCAATTAAAACTACCTGGCAGTCACCTCACTCTGCTTAAAGATAGAGATGGCCCTGCCTCTACCCAGCACATTAAAATCTGTTGCATAGTTATAAACTAGTAATTGGCACCAGAGGCAACCAAGGAGGAAAGTACAATCCTGTGCACAAATAATACAATGTATGGGGGGGGGGTTCTCTCCTCATTTTGTTCTAGGAGAAATAAGCATACTGCTCATATTCTTTCCTCAGTGACTATGTTGATACAGAGTCGTAATTAAAGTATATTGCTATGGAAAAAGTAAATATATGAATATACTGGGGCAGGTAACAGTGCCCTTCCTGTTCTTTGGAATGCAGCACTCATGATCCTTCCCTATTAGCTATGCTGGTTAGGGCTAATGGGAAGTGTAGTCCGGAAACATATGAAGGGCAACTCTTGACCCCTCCCTGATCTATATTAACAGAATTCTGCTGATGGATCTGCCTACCACATTTGTTTGGTGGCAGTATAAGCCTTTTGTCAAATCCATACAAGCCAGGCATCATCATTGCCCATCTTAATACCAAATTGATTGAGCAAGTGCGTCCTGTGTGATATTTATATTTAAGATAATTGAGAAACTACTGCTAAAACAGGAGATGGCTGGATGCTCTCTGTCCTGTGACAACTGTTACTATCTGGCATGTGATACCAATAGTCTAAGTAGATCTCGGTTAAATCTGCTCTTATTGCCTGATTGATAGAGAGGCATAGTACATTTGTGCAAGAATCTGTCTCTATCCAGAAAGTTTTCTCTAAATGCCTTTGATATGTACTGTATTATATTTCAAAATATTGTGGACATTATGGCTTTATATTAGGGGTTTAATATGGTTGGATTCTACTTGCCTCTGTTTGGAGGGCCAAATGTGACTACCATCTGACCTTAGGTACTGTACATTGATTTGATCAATAAAATTTATATCAGTTGATCTTACTTATATGCAAGTATAGTTATGACAGGATACTTATAAATCTTTATAACAAGGAAAGGTTTTACTAGAAAACTGTAACTTTATAATGAGAAAAGGTTGAACCAGAAAAACACTATTTGTACATGCCAAATCTTTCCTATGTGATTTAAGGTGTAATGTTTGCACAATTACTTTAGAATAAGCTGCACTGAAATCCATAGGATATATTTCTGAGTATACTTACATAAGTATACTGTTTAAACACACTATTTTCCTTTTTCATTGTAGCGTGAACTGTGTTTTGCATCTAACAGGGAGTTAGCTTAACTGAAAACTATTTTTATGCCAAGCTCTATTGCACATGTGGAACTCCTTTCCCAGAAAGGTTTGCCATACTCATTTGAGTGGAATTCATGAATATACCTACAACAGAGGAATAAACTCAAAGAAATATTGTTTGTCACCAAAATGAATGAGATAGCATTGCAAATTGAAAAGACAAATGTTTGTTATCAATGTCCTAGGATGACTACTTACCTGAGAAAACAAATATAGTTAGACATGTATTAATGACTGCAGTGATGGCCCAGTGTAGCTGGCCAGTTATGTGTCTCCAGAGAAGAAATCATCATAGTGTTTGAGAAAACTCTTTCAATATTGTGTTCAATAGGAGACTATACAGTATGTGAGCCTTAACATGAATAGCACCAATTGTTGCAGCTGTTGGTTGATTTTGCTGACTGTCCAGGCATAAAAAAATGAGAGGTTTTCAACTGGTTCCGGGTTCCCATACTATCCAATTAGCCATATTTTACCCAAATTCCCATCATGTCCATTTCCACTACAGTATCAGCTGGTGTGGATACAGTTCTAATCCCCTTCTCAACCTCTGTTTGCCTCATGTCCCTGGTATCACAAAGGTTTGCTCTCTGGTGTAAGGTTTCCACCCTGAGATCTCATGAAATAACACCTATAAACGGAAAAGCTGGAATTAAAATAAAAAGGGGCAGAGTTGGAATTTCCTACTAGTGATACAACACTATAGTTGGTGCTCAAACAAGAAGGCCCCAGCCCTGGTGGAATTGTGGAATGTTGTGGAAGAGTTAATAGCAGACCTAATTTGACTGTTAAAATTTACCTCAGAGGTCACATATAGTTACTGTAGGTGATTCTTCATTGAAGGGCTTCAAATGTAGAAAAATTAATCCCTTTAGAAATAGCAGACATGCAGCTTTTAAGTCTTTTCACAGTTGCTCTCACAATTATCCATTTCATACTTCACAAATCCATACATTATTACAATATTAGTTATATACAAAAAACACAGATTGATAAAAAAATAAAGGAGACAATACTGTATCTTGAGTCACAAGAATTGCTAAAAACACTAAGCCCTTGATAATTCATATATCATTTCAGATACTTGATATAGTAAATGAACCACTGGTTCTAAAAATCTTCCTGTTTAAAGCTATAATACTGTATCATCAGTAGAAGTGGTTACATCCGATAAAACATTAAGAAGCATTAAAGGTAATACTGTTTCATTTATTGGGTTGCACTCCCTTATAAATTTTGCAACACTGAAATGGCTGTGTTGCTTATCTGTCTTAAAAAACAACATTGATTTCAACACAGATCATGATAAAAGCATATAGGAATTTTTCCTTTCTTGTTATCTCAGCACTCAGGAAGGGAAAAAACGCCCCCCTGCTGTGAACAACAAAGGAGGTGGTTAACCATTACAAAAAAAGTAATTTGGATGGGAGTTGTGTTTGATGTACTGCTGTTACTGGTTAACGCTGGTTATGGCTTTTTTTTCAATTTTGTACTAATTAATAAATGTGAAAGTGAAACATTACTGCTTTAGGAGACAGTTTTTCTAGATTGCTGTCTACAAATGCCTTGTACCAGTGTTTCTTAATATCATACGATTTATAACCATTCAAGCCAATTGGACAGGCAACATCAAAATTTTGTGGCCTAACAAATAAATTCTGTTTTATGTTTATTTTTCTGATTACTACCAAAACATCAGATAATGCTGGAGGTCAGTGAAATTCTCTTATTTTGTTGGCAGGGAAGCACTATAGTCCTTTACATAATTTCAGGATTTCTAAGTTTCCTTTTTCCTAAGTTGGTATTGCTCTAGCAGCAAAATAATGTTGATGAGCTGTTGTATTGCTCAGTGGTTTAGGTATCTGGCTGTGGAGCCAGAGGTTGGGAGTTTGATTCCTCGCTGTGCCTCCTTGACAGGGCTCTACTTAATGATCCATAGGGTCCCTTCCAGCTCTGCAGTTCTAAGATTTCACAGAAGAAGGCAAAACTAATGGGTCTTGGAGCAAATCGAGCATCGACTATCTCTGGAGGCAAAAATAACAAAACTGAGGCTGTTGTACTTTAGGCATATCATGAGAAGGCAAGATTCTTTGGAAAAGATAATAATGCTAGGAAAAGTTGAAGGCAGCAGAAAAAGAAGAAGACCAAATATACGAAAGATCAACTCCATAAAGGAAGCCACAGCCTTGAATTTAGAAGAGCTGAGAAAAGCTGTTGAAGACAGGACATTTTGGAGGTCATTCATTCAATTCAAAGGATTGCCACGAATTGGAGGCAACGTGACAGCACATACCAACAAGAAGAAACTGAAGATTACATGCTCCCGAACCTCAAATTATGTTCTGAACTACCCTTTTATATGCTGCCCAGAGACCTTTGGGCAGCATATAAATTAAACAAATAGTATTGTTGTGATTGGAAAAATCCTCCTTCAAAATGAAAAAAAATATTTCTAATCAATGTAGTTTTCCCCCCGCATTTCACGTTAACTGTGACTGACTTCATGCAAATAAGAAAATGAACAGATAACTAGGTAAAAGGAATAATCGTCAGCACTGTATACCACAATAACTGTGGTTGAGAAGTTGTGGATTGCATAAGGAGTTGTTCTAATGCTTCATGGGAGGCAACTAGATTATAACAGACAAATTCTGTTTTGAAGTAAACTTTCACACACAAAATAAATATGACTGCCTATGGCTGAACTCAATATACTGTTGTCTACTCATTCAAGTTCAGTATCATAATTGTATTAAACATGTACTACTGAAAGGGAGTGTTATTTAAAAAATTTAAAAAGAAGACTAAAAATGTGAAATAAAAGATTCTATAGTTGTGGTTTAGAATTAGAACAACCAATCAGAACAGATACTATGATAACATTCAGTTTATGCTCTGCAATAATTTTAGAATTACAGGACTGCGTTCACTTAATACATTTGAATGACCTGTGACTGAAAAATTCAAGTCACTGGTACTACATGAAACAAGTGAAATACTGAGGGTCTTAGTACATTTTCAAATCTGTGCCATGGTTATTTAAAGGACCAGATAGTTCCATGGCAATTAGCAATGTAAACATGTACCAGTTTTATCGTGTTAAATGCAAGATAAATAAATACGCAAGTATATTACTACCACTTAACCACTCCCATCTCCCCACTCTGTTAATTAACAATAAGTTGTTGTTCTACTTTAAAGTGGAGGCCAATCTTCTGGGACATATTTGAGAAAGTGGTGTGAGAAAGTATTACGAAAAACAGCAGCCTCTGCCATAGAAGGAAAATAATCTTGAATAAACAAAGGAACGGATCTCTCTCTAAGAAGTGGAGCAATTACTTGCTAATCATCTAATTCAACAATACATCACCTTGATACTTTTTGCAACATAGAGGTGACAGTTTCATCCACAACTTGTACTTACTTGTCTGTTTATCTTCATTGGATTTCCAAATGGCCAGACTACAATTGTCATTAACCCTAGGCAGCATAGCCCAGTGTGGAATACACTTTGCCTATCCCAAACTGAAACAAAGTTATTTGTAAAATTTCTCTCAGCACTGGGTGTACCCTGGAGAGAGCCTTCTCAGACTTTTTCTGGGCAAGGACCTTAATACAGACATCGTACAGCTACCTATATATTGCCACCCCAGCAGCATTTAGACAGCATCTTAGATGGCTAAAATGACCAGTATAAGGACCAAATTCCTCAATTCATTGACACATACAGACACATCTTGATGAGTGTTTACATCAAAATAAAATTTTAAAATATTGGAAAAGTTGATTATGGTTCTTCTGCATCATAATGGTTATGGCCCTCGTTTGTCCAATAGTTTTCAAAACAGTCTATAATGTAACTAAACTAATACAGTACTGCATTTTAGCTTAACAAACTCAAAATCTAGCTCCTTCTGGTCCTACATGTAAAAACCTGAGTACTGTAAATATAAAGTTCCCAAAGAAGCTCCACAGTTGCATTTAGCTATAACTACAATGAAGGTTAGAACCCAAAGACAACTTCTGTCTCGAGTACCATTAAAAGTACCAGTATATGGAGGGCGGATAATAATTTTCAGGGGGGGGGGCTTACAAGTACAACTTTATATCTTTTAACAGTATGTTGTCCTTTAGATTGTCTTGTACACAATCAGACCCCTGTAAGAAATAATCAGGTGTAAAATACTTTAGTTGCAATCTACATGGTGCTAATAATTTCAGATACCAGTGTCTCAAGAGTAATAGACACCAGAGAATTTGTGGGATCACAGCCTAGAAGCAGCAGCAACAAATGTTCTTCTGCTATTATTTTCCATATAGCCTGTTATTAATGTCTTTTGTTTGGGGTTGTATCCTTGGCAGCCAAGACGTTGTTTGGTTATTTCATATGCTGCCACCTGCTGCTAGCACACAAGAAAAATAAACAGAAAGTCCATAGGCCTGAAGGCAGTTTTCAATTGCATAATAAAATGTTCTTCTTGCAGGCATCCTTCAGTCTCAAGATACTATGGTAACGTGCTCTGAATAGAGGTCTTGGAACAGTGTCTAGTGTGGCTGAATACAAGAGTGACAATCCCTTCCACACTGAATACAATTTGTCCCCTGTCCAGCTCCCTGATTTTGCTAGTTTCAGGACTGCCCAATTTGAAGAGGCACTTGTACGGCCTGCTGAACAAGTGCCTCTTCAAATTGGGAGAGGCCATGATGTACTGCCTGCCTCCAGGCTGAAAGCTTAGACATCAAGGTTTCCATCTGTTGAGGTCCATTCCTAAGGCCTTCAGATATCCTTATACTGCAGCTGTGGTCTCCCTCTAGGGTGATTTCTCTGCACTAATTCTCCATACAACAGATCTTTTGGAATCCAATTGTCAGCCATTCTCATGACATGCCCAAGCCAATGTAGACATCACTGTTTCAGTAATGTACACATGCTAAAAATTCCAGCTCATTCTAGGACTACTCTATTTGGAATTTTGTTCTGCTAGGACCTAGGTGATACCAAAAATGCATAGGAAACAATGCATATGGAACGTATTCAGCTTCCTCTCCTGCAATACACAAAGAGTCCAGGACTCACCGCAGTACAGGAGTATACTCAGGACACAGGCTCTATAGACCTGGATCTTGGTATATGCCGTCAGCTTCTTATTAAGCCATACTCTCTTTGTGAATCTAGAGAACATGGTAGCTGCTTTGCCAATGCATTTATCCAGCTCAACATCTAGAGAGAGGGTGTCAGAGATCGTTGAGCCAAAGTACACAAAATTATGAACAATAATTCTTGTGTAGAGATGGTAATAGAGGGAGGTGAGTCCATGCCCTGGCCCATGACCTGGGTTTTCTTCAGGCTGATTGTTAGTCCAAAATCTAGGCAGGGCTTACTAATATGATTCATAAGATGTTGGAGGTCTTCAGCAGAATGGGTGACAACAGCTGCATCATCGGCAAAGAGGAAGTCCTGCATGCATTTCAGTTGGACTTTGGTCTTTGCTCTCAATCTAGATTAAACAGCTTTCCATCTGATCTAGTCCGGAGACAGACACCTTCTGTTACAGTTCCAAAAGCGTGCTTCAACATGATAGCAAAAAAGATCCCAAACAAAGTCAGCGCGAGGAAACAGCCCTGTTTCACTCTGCTTCGGATGTCAAAGGGATCTGATGTTGAGCCATCAAAAACTGCAGTGCCCTTCATTTCCTCATGAAAGGACTTTATGACGTTAAGGAGTCAAGATGGATATCCAATCTTGGGAAGTATTTTAAAAAGGCCATCCCTGCCAACCAAATCAAAGTCCTTTGTTAAGATCTATGAAGGCCACAAAGAGTGTCTGTCGTTGTTTCCTACATAGTAAAATGTAAAAGGAAGATTATTGTTACCTGCATGACAGCTGTGCTTCCAGGTACAGCAGAACACTATTTTATTACTTATTCGAAATATTTATAACTTGCAATTCTCAACCAGACTCAAGGCAGTTACACAAGAGGACTTCTAAATAGACACACACCGTTGTACTATAAATCTAAAAGTTCAGAATCCTTTATTAGTTTCAACATCACCATTCTTTCTAACAGCACACTAAAGTGGCTGAAAGCCGGTGGGATTTAGGGGCCATGATGAAACAAGAGGATCAATATGATCAGAGAATCCCTGGAATATACTGTATAGATATATCTTCTCCATTGCATGCCCTCTAGTATTCTCTTATAGAGTCAGGACACGTTACTGGATGCTAGGTGAATGGCAGTCCTGTGTGCGAAATGGGGAAAGATGATGGAATCAGTATCCCGATAGGTGAAATCAATTCCTCAAGCTGATGCTAAAAGGGCACACCGTCCATGCTGCAATTTGCTTCAGGCAAGAAAGGCAGCTGTGGCCTCACCATCTGGCCAAGATGATGCGGGGAACCTCTCCTCTCCTCCAGCTCTGCGAACCCCAACCTGATGAGGAATCCTGCAAGACCTGAACCTAGCCAGTTTTTGAACTCCTAGCCTAATTAGGCTCCTGGTCTAATAAAGGCATTTCTCTTCCTGGCCCCATACAAAGCTCTTTACTGTCGTCTTGCACGAGGTGTCACACTTGCCGGCAACGGTGGGCCTTTGTGCCTGGCCCGGGTGACACAGAGGCTCCGGGAGGCCCCAACACCACTCCCCCCCGTTCCGGGCTTTCCTCGCCTTAAGGATCCCCGATCAGTTCCTTGGTTTACAGCCCCAAGCGGACATGTTGCGCCAGGGGGCGATCCCCGAAGGAGGCTCCGCCCTGCTCTTCCCACGTGGCCAGGCCCCGGAAGTCGGGGCGCCTGCGCGTTGCGCGAGGACGACAGAGCCGAGCGTCCCGAACCAGGGGGCTCCTCGCGATGGAAGGCGCGCGGATGCTGAGGCAGCGGCTGCCGCTCTCCGCCTGGCCCCCCTTCGGCCCGGGCCTTTGCCCCGGCCGCCGCTCCCCCCGCCTGCTCCGGGCAGGCCTCTCGTGCTGCTCCCCCTGGGGCTCGGTCCAAACCCGCCCGCTCCGGCGACATGGCGCGCCGCCCTTCTTTTGCCCAAGTAAGTCATCGGCTGGCTGGGGGATGGCGCGCACGCGAGCGGGGCAAGAAGCCGTGGGAGCCCGACCCTGTCTTATCTGCCTAAGACGGGAAGAAGCTTCTTCCTTCGCTTCTCTTAGCGGCGCGACCCCCGAGGCAATCAATGTTCTCGGGTATTTGCAGCCTGAGCCCGCGCCTCCGCTTCAGGAACTTCAGCAGAAGTTTTGCACGGCGCTGGCGTAAAGACTCCGGAGGCGCAATCCTCTGCGCCTCCAGAGTTGCCCGTCGGGCATGTGGTCGGTGGAAGGACGTGGGTGGTTTATAGCTTCACATCCTGATCGTGAAGTGACGACACTTGCCTGCGACGCCGCCGGCGTCTCTGTCCTGGGTGTGCTGCTTGCGAAGCAAGGCTCGCCCTATCCAGTAGCCCTTGCTCGTTAGGAGCTTTGCAAGCCGGGTGGAGCACCTGGCACCTCAAAAAAGACACAGTGGAACTGGGAAAGGTGCAGAAGAGAGCGACCAAAATTATGACTCGGCTGGGGCACCTCCCTTATGAGGAAAGGCTACAGCGTTTGGGGCTCTTTAGAGAGAAAAGGCGCCTGAGGGGGAACATGATTGAGACATGTAAAATTATGCAGGGGATGGATAAAGTGGATAGAGGGAAGCCCTTCCCTCTCACACAATATCAGAACCAGGGGACATCCACTCCTATTGAGTTTTGGGAGAGTGAGAACAGACAAAAGAAAAACATTTCTTTACCCAGCATGTTGTTTGTCTGTGGAACTCCTTGCCACAGGATGTGGTGATGGCATCTGGCCTAGTAAGGTAAAGGTTCCCCTTGACAGTTTGACGAGTCATGTCCAACTCTAGGGGGTGGTGCTCATCTCCATTTCCAACCCATAGAACTAGCATTTGTCCGAAGACAATCTTCCGTGGTTACATGGCCAACGTGACTGGACAGGGAACACCGTTTTCTTCCCACCATGGTGGTACCTATTTATCTCCTCATATTTTGCATGCTTCCAAGCCACTAGGTTGGCAGGAGCTGGGACAAGCGACGGGAGCTCACTCTGATGCGTGGATTCAATTTTACGAGTGCTGGTCTTCTGACCTTGCAGCCCAGAGGCTTCTGCAGTTTAACCTGCAGCCCCATCACGTCCCTCTGGCATCTGGCCTAGCTGCCTTCAAAAGAGGATTGGACAGATTCCTGGAGGAAATGTCCATTGCAGGTTGCAAGTCATGATGGGGAGGTATAATCTCTAGGCTTAAAAGGAAGGTACCTTAAAATTCCAGATGCAGAGGAGGGGTATCAGGAGACAGGTATCTAGTTGTCTCGTGTGCTCCCAGAGGCATCTGGTGGGGCCACTGTGAGACACAGGAAGCTGGAATAGATGGGCCCTTGGCCTGATCCAACAGGGTTCTTCTTATATTCTTAAGTCTTTCCCCTGTGTTTCGGGACATACATAGGGTCACTGTATGCTTCCAGTGGTTTGCAGTGCACTGCTGACTTATAACAGCCTTGATCCTGATAAGCACTGCCACTAGTGCACTAATACATTTTGTTAGCAGAACACTTCACGTGAGAAATGCATTAACACATGTCAGGGTACACAAGAATCTCAGACTTACTCTATATTTTTGGCCCTTTGTTGCATGGCTTACTTTCAGCCTTAAGTTCTTGGATTTCATCAAAACTGTTGCATGGGGGTTATAAGCTTTAGCAGTTTTGTCTTCCATGCTAAATTGACATCCTGACAATGCTACTTTAACTTTGTGATTTGAAATATTCTCTACAGCTGTTTTCTGCAGATATGCAACTCATGTTAGACCAAGCCAGCATTGCCCAGTAAGGGATGATGGAAACTGTGGTTCAAGGTATCTAGAGGAGCACTAGCTTGGGGAAGACTACGTTAGTGTCACATTTTTTGTGGTCAAACAAATAAATGCCATTTTATGCTGAGTTTTCTGATTTGCAACCCAAACATTGCGTAATGCTGGAGGACAATGGCTGAATATCACAACATTTTTTTAAAAAAAATCATAAAGTAGTTAGAGAAATTCTCTTTACAGTTTGTTCAGAGTTGGGACACTACATAATAGTTTAGAAAGACAACACAATCCCTTGCATAATTGTCAGGTTTTTGAAGTTCCATTTCCCTCAGTTGGTGTCGCTGTATCACCAAAAAAACAGTGGTGCCTCGCTTAGCGATTGCTTCGTTTAACAATGTATTCGCTTAACGATGGGTTTTTAAAAAGAATTTTCCACATCGTTTAACGATGTTTCCTATGGGCAATTTTCGCTTAGCGATTTCGGGACCTTGCTTCGCATAGCGAATGCATTTTGGGTCCCCTGTTTCGCTTAATGATGTCCGCTTTTGCAATTTTAAAAGTGTCTTAAAATGTTCAAAAACTGTTTTAAATGCTTGGAATCATTAGTGCACCCTCTAAAACATGTGCAAACTTAATTTGGCTTTGTTCTGACTCTTCGTTAATTTTTGGTGAATTTTCCCCCCCGTTGAAATGCATTGAACCCAAGCTTGACAGCTGTCAAACGGGCACTTCAATGCATTCCAATGGAGGAGAAAAAAATTCACCAAAAATTAACGAAGACTCAGAACAAAGCCAACTTAATTTTGCACACATTTTAGAAGGTGCGCTAACAATCCCAAACATTTAAAACAGGTTTCAAACATTTTAAGACACTTTAAAAATAGTTTTTGACAGGTCCGTTTTCAGAACAAAGCCAAATTAAGTTTGCACACGTTTTACAAGGTGCTCTAACGAATCCAAGCATTTGAAACAGTTTCCGAGTGTTTGTTAATTTTTGGTGAATTTTTTTCTCCCCCATTGGAATGCATTGAAGTGCCCAATTCCTGGAAGCAAGTCTAGGGTTTTCAGTGCTAATCGTATGTGTTGAGTATTAGAGCTTTGGCCTTCTCATGGAAACAATTTGCCATCACTGATTCTACAAATATTGGTTATGTTTAAACTTTAAACTTGAATGTGTAAATGGTCAGAAGTGGTGATGAGGTGCAGGGTTCTGTTTCCTCCCTGATTTACAGAACATTTGGAAAAGACTCAAATTGAAGTGCAGATTTATTTTTCCGTGTTCATTCTCTTGGTTGCAACATTTACAGTGTACTACACGCTGCACAGGAAAGTATGACAGTCACTGTTGAGTGAAATTATGAATTAACATTTATAGCAGTTTTTGTTTCAGGCTGCATAGCTCAATGCATTGGGATACTTGACTGTAGAGCCAGGATTTCAATTCCCCACTGTGTCTTATAGGAGGGAATGATTAACTGCTTCTGAATACTCTGTACCTAGGAAACAGCAGAAGGGGTTGCCATAAGTCAAAGTCAGCTTGATGGCATGTAATACCAATATTAATTTTTTTCATGTCTATATGAAAATTGCTTCAACTTCAGTTTAACTCAACTTTTGTGACTATTGATGGTTTGTTGCATTCTGTAACTCGTAAGATTACAGAATGGTTTGTGGGCAAGTTGGAGAACACAATTTGAAGAGGGCATTAATTATAGTTTCCAAGATGATCCTATCCCGTGCTGCACCTTTTGGTAGTGACTAGATGTTAAACTTAGTTCATTTGCAGATGGGGACCTAGTATAACCAGGGCTTGAAAAAATTTAGAATGTCTCACCGGTCAGTCAAAAATTTCACTAGTCAGCATGACTGGACTATAGCCTTGCAGTTTATTGGGATTGGGAATCACTGATTTATACCTTCAGACTTGGGTTGCTTTATTACCTGCGTGCCTGTGGGGTCATGAAGCTTGTATTTTGAGTGCCTTTCTTTTGAATGTCTCCAGCAAAAATAAAACTGAAAGCAAAAGCACCTGGCCTCTTAAAGAGCCACAGTTCCCTCCCACCCCAGGACGTGTCCTGGTTCAGTTGAAATTGGGAGCAGGGAATCTCCATATTCTCCAGCGTGGGATTACTGTACATTCTCCTGCAGAGCTATATCTCTATGTGCTGCTCGAACTCTCTTCTTGTGAGAAGAGGGCAGTTTTCCTTTTGCAATGGAAGGGGGGAGGGGAGGACTGCAGGACTAGAGAGAGACAGACAGACAGACAGACGGAGGGAAAGGAGGCAGGGAGGGAGGGAGCTGTGACTCGTCTACCAGCATTTTTCACTCGTCATAGATGAGCGGACAAGTGCATTTTTCAAGCCCTGAGTATGGCTAACATAAAGAAGTATATGACCAAAAAAAACAAACAAACCAGCATTGTCTTGAGGTATGCAGTGTGGCATGAACCTTTTAATTCTTATGGATGCTGGGTGAGAGCGTGGCAAAGCACTTCTAAATCTTAGAATTCCTCCGCAATAGTAGCCATGCTGGCTGAGGGATCCTGGGAGTTTCAGTCGAAGAAGTGAAGCTCTAGGTAATACCAGTAAATATTACTAATCTTACAACCTCCCTTTTATTTTCCTTTAGGTGATCTTTCTCGGCACTTTAATACAGAGGCGTCTCAGGCCATGCTAGCTAGCATGGCTCCAGTATTTTCAGTGGTAAGTACAGTGGTGCCTCGCATAATGAGCGCACCATTTAACAACAAATCCGCATAGCAATCTATTTTTTTAGATTGCTAAGGCGACCGCATTGCGATGTTTTAATGGGCAAAACATCGCATTCCGATGATCGGTGTTTCGCTTACCGATCTTCGCATTGCGATGTTCCTAAAACAGCTGATCTGCGGTTCCAAAATGGCCGCCAGGTGCCCGAAATGGCCACCGCAACCATTTTTGCGCGGTTTCCTCGCTTACCGAGGGTGTGAAAATGGCGGCACTATGGAGGAACTTCGCTGAACGGTGAGTATGGGCCCCATAGGAACGCATTAAACAAAGTTTAATGCATTCCTGTGGGTTTTTCCATTCCATTTAGCAATGTTTCCACATAGCGACGATTAATCCGGAACGGATTAACGTCGCTATGCGGGGCACCACTGTATGCTTGTTCATATTCCTACATAGTACAAATACAGAACTATGTTTCCCAACTGTCATTGGGAAAGAGGAATTAAGTGGGAAGCTAGTTAGTAACAGGGCAAAGGCAGCTGAAAGAGAGAGCTTCTGACTGAGAAGCAGAAATGAAAGAAAACAGAAAATGCTATAGTAATTGCTGTAATGCTCTAATTGGGCCAGTGAAGAGGTTATACAATACAATGTAGACATTCAAGTTCTTGTGCACTCTTTGTTATGCAAGGTGATGAAGAAAGGAAAAAAGAGGGAAGGCAGTTAAAATGAAAGCTGCAGATTCTGCATTTGCTAATAATGTTCAGTTGGAAGATGGGAAAAATGTTTTTTGCAGCCAAAAACTCAAGTGAAAAGATAAAAAAAACAGTAAAACAGCAGTAGAACAGTAATTCATGAAAGGAGAGGAATAAAGCTACATTTCATTCTGTATCTTGTGACAAGGTTGTTAGAAGAGCCAGAGTGGGCTCAAAGTTGTCAAATTGTTAGACTGAGGCTGCAGACCTAAATATACTCATTAGAGAGTAGACCTCATGAAGTATAAGGTGATGTATTACTGAATTATAAACAGCATTGCACTGAGACAGAATGGTCACATAATAGATGTTTGACTATCAACAATAAATGCATACCATTGTTGCTTACCCAATAGGTGTTTCTGTGTTCTTGCTCTTGGGTTTTTTAATTAATTCTTAGATTTGTTAGTTTGTTATAATAACTATTTCGAGTTTGTACGTCAGATGTTATCCATATTCTCTTCTCCTCATTCCCAACTGAGAGCCATATGCTCTAAGTCTTAATTTGTGTCAATCTAAAGTAAAAGCCTAAAATCTTTAATTATTGTTATTTCTATAGCCTGGAACTACTTCATCTTTTCTGAATACAGTGGTGCCTCGCTTAACAAGTGCCTCGTTTAGCGATGAATTCACATAACGATGTGTTTTTTTAGAAAATAATATGCACCGTATAACGATGTTTCCTATGGGCGATTTTCGCTTAGCGAAGTTTGGGACCATGCTTCGCATAACGAATGCGATTTTAGGTCCCCTGCTTCACTTAACGATGTTTCTTTTTTCAATTTAAAAAGTGTCTTAGAAGGGTCAAAAGCGGTTCTAAATGCTTGGATTCGTTAGAGGACCCCCTAAGTCGTGTGCAAACCTGATTTGGCTTTGATCAGACTTTTCGTTAATTTATGGTGAATTTTTTTTTCGGCCCATAGGAACCAATGGAGCTGTCAGATTTTGACAGCTGACAAAAGTTGGGGGAAAAAAATTCACCATAAATTAACGAAAAGTCAGATCAAATCCAAATTAACTTTTGCATCCGTTTTAGAGGGTGCAGAAGCTAATCCAAGCATTTAAAACCATTTTTGACCCTTTTATGACACACTTAAATTTGCAAAAATTGACTTTGCAAAGCCATTGAAATGCATTGAGTCAGCTTCAATACATTCCAATGGAGGAAACATTGTATCGTTTAACGATGTTTCCTATGGGTTTTTTCGCTTAAGGAGGGCAATCTGTGCCTATTGGAACGGATTAACCGGTTTCCAATGCATTCCTATGGGAAATGGTGTTTCACATAACGATGTTTCACATAACTTTTTTTTTTTGAACCAATTAAAATCGTTATGCGAGGCACCACTGTAGTTAGGTTTGTCCTTTGCCATGAAAATACTGCATAATCTTGAGATGCTCTATCCATTATGTTAATGAAAGTGGATATTCAATTCTGTGTAATAGAAATTTTAGAAACCGTGCAAAGAGTTACATGGTATGACTATCTCAACCATCTATATTTTTCAAGTCATCATAGAATTTGTCATTGTCTTATAAAAGCAAAATCCTGAGTCCAGTATTTCTTTTTCCTTTTTCAGATGAAATTTGATAAAGATGGCAATATCAGCTGTTATGGTATGTGGAATTCTAGACGTCCTTTAATTCTGGTCACCATAAAAAGATAAGGTTCTTACTCATGCAGTGGATCTTTTAGATATTGCTGAGGCAAATTTGCTTATAGTTTTAATTTTTAGAATCTAATTTAAAATAAATAAATGAAATAGTTTAGGATATGTATATCCTCCCTTTGTAGCGTTTTGGAACCCAATGTACCATGTAGAGTTCCATGAAACCTCTCATCTAGACATTGATGAGCCAATCTACTTGGCTTCAGGAAGGTCATGGGATCATATGGTGTCAGGCTGTGTCCTGGGACAGTTCATTTTGTTTGGTCTTGTGTTTACTGGAATCACAACTGTTTGGGCTGCTTGTCCATTGTAGTCTGTATTTTATATCATGTTTTAAACCTCTTCTGGACAGAAAGAAAGAAAACAGAACTGTACCAAGAACTCAGTCTTCAACCACGAGATCTACGATTCCAGCATCAAGTTAGCATATCACCTAGGAACAACAAGATTGTAATGAGAATGGAAGTGAGTGGTTTTTGTTTCATACATTTTTTGTTATGTCTGATCATACAAACTGATTTTCCTATAGGATGTCATCTTCGTGCAAGAAAGTAGTACTGTAAACTGTAGTACTTCTGTTAGTCTGATAAAGAGGGAGCATTTCACAGGCTGGGGGTATTTATTTTCAGTAATCTGTTGCATCATCCTTTACAAATAGACAAAGCAACAAGGAATAGAAATCAGCATATAATATATAGCATAAAATGTATACCAGGTAGCAATTAATAAATACAAGGCTAATAGCAGAAAACCTCAGTAGGGAAGGGAAATTATGGCCAAATCCTATACATGTTTTCCTAAAAGTGCCCAATTCTTATTTAGCACACTTCTGAGTAGACATCTACAGAATTGAGTTGGCAGCGAGGCAATGCCCGATACCTGCCTAAAAATAAGATTTTAACCTGATGACAGAATGAATACAAAGGGTATTTCTCAGAGCCGGGAATTTCCTTGAATAGCACTAAATATCAGTGAGCACTCATACTATGAAATGCTGTCTAATTGTATTATTTTATTCATTTAGTTCTTGAAGGCTGTGGTGACAACAGAATATATTGTAATCTTAGACTATCGTAATGGAAACTTGGAAAATTGGCTGTTCAAAGAATTGTCACCTCAGTTAGCTGGAGAAGGCCAACTGGTTACTTATTCTTTACCTTTTGAATTCAGAGCTATAGAAGCAATACTGCAGTACTGGGTAAGCATGGTTCTACTGTACTGAAGGTTTTAGTTTGTTGTGATCAAGTGTTGAGGGGAACGGTAGAGACTGGAATTGTGGGTAGATAATAGGCAACTACTTTTTCTGTTTTCGGCAGTCACAATCCACTTGTGACTGCTGAAATCCCGGTATCTTGTATAAACAGTCTAGAATCAGTTATCTACTTATAGATAACCCAGTTCTAATTTATCTACATACTCAAGGGAGGGCATATCCTGAGCCAATTTTCCTTGACCAGAAATAAACAGAATGTCTGCTTTGTCTTTCTTTAAAATCCTGAAATGGGGTACTAATGATTTTTACATTAAAAAAAAAAGATGAATGCAGGCAGAAAGAGTAAAATGAGAAAAAGAAAGAAAATCTCTGCAGGGGGGAGGCTGATTTGCACCCTCATAAACAAGTAAATATGTGTGTCAGTCTTTACAGTGTAGTGACTGGAATGTATTTGGCACAACTGGTGTCCCACTTATAAGAAGGCTACACACATACAGGTCCTATAATTGTGGCCTCAAAGAACCAGAATTGACCAATGGTCTGAATATACATTGAACAATTTTAGAAATTCCACATACTTGGCTTCTTTCAACTCTGGCAAATTTGAAAGAAAGGAGTCTCCATTTGGTCTATTCCCATCTGGAAGACCTCTTCCCCTCCTCCCCTTCTGTTAATAGTTGGACACACATCAGATGGTAGCAAAAGTTCACCAGTGGCATGCCCAGTCTACGACCTGCACAGATAATCTGGCCACATACCTCCAAATTTTAGACAAGTCACTGGGTCAGGGAGAAGCATGCTAATTTCCTTAGCCATTCAGACTGCCTGCCAATCATTCTCTTTAATGAGGCTGGTATGTCCGTTGGTTTTACTGGGGGGCTGCTCATCAGCTTCAAGAAGTTCAGGAACACATAGCTTTTACCTCTTTTCTCAGTGACCCCAGGTATTCTAAGAACATTGTTCTAATTCTTATGAAGGATCATGTTGTTATCTAGATCGGCTACCTCCATGGGAAACTCAACAGTCTGCAGCCTCAGATTCTTGAAACACTAAATGCTCTAGTGGATCCTAAGCTTTTGTCCTTGGACAGGAGCAAAGTTCACATCCTGTTGCAAAATGGAAAGAGGTAAGGAATTCCTCATTCTTTTGGATTACTTATACATTTTCTAGAAAGTTTTACTGCTTAACTGTCTAACAGTGAATGCTTTGTACTGCAACTTATTGTACACAGTGTTGACTTGGGGTTTGGCATTCCTGCCTGAAATCCAAAATCACATTGTTGAAGTCTGATTCTCTTATTTGTAAAAGTAGTGTCATAACCTCCTTTTGCTAAACAGATTAACATGGCTACCCCTCTTTATGAGAGAGACTGTAAATTAAGAGCCAAAATATAAATTGGTCATGAAACATTCATTATTTAATTTATTTATTTAAAATATTTTTACCCTGCCTTTCTCCTTAAAAAAGGAACCAAGGTGGTTTACAACATTAAAAGACAGTATGTAGAGCTAACAGAATACAATACTGAAAAGATCAAATACATACCATCCAAAAAAAAGAGCAGTAAACATAAGTGGCACAAAGCATATTCAAAGCAGTAAAGTACAACAATTCATTTAAAAACTCCACTCAGGCAGTCAGTCTCAAGGGAAAGAGAAAGGTCTTTGTGGAACATCCCTTGTGGAAGAATGGCAAAGACAGTGCCAACCTGGCTTCTTGTGGGAGCAGCAACACAGAAGGCCTTCTCCTGTGAGTCAACATGCTTGTATGGCAAAAAAAATTGCATCCGTTATTAATCAGTATATACTGTAAATAATTGAAATAATTTAAATGTGGCTTTTCCATTGGACAAGTTTGTGAAATCGAGCACATCATCAGAATTCATAAAAAAATTTAATCAGAGAGCACTAGCTGTTATACAGCACAGACAATGCAGCCAGTGTCATCAAAATAAAAAACTAACTTTCAAAAGATTTGGGAGGAAAAACCCATCATTGTTAAAAAGATTTGAACTGCCTGCCTAATGGTGCTTGTTTCATTAATTCCCTTGTTTTGTAGGGTATGCGGAGAGCAGCTGGAGAGCAGGCATTCCTCGAGGTTATCTGCCTTACCTCCTGTTGCAGGGTTGGTTGGACAAAATCCTGTTCAGAAATCTGTAGACACCTGTAAAACATCTTGGATGATTGGGCATCAGTCCAGGCATTGGAGATGTATTAGCTAAAATCTTGTTGCTTAATATAGTAAATTGCACTAGAGTAGGCCCACTGAATTGTTGATATTTGGTGTGTCACCTCTGTAAGTTCCATCGATTCAGATTGGCCTACTTTAACTGCTACTTTAGCATACTAAGTCACAGTTAGAGTAGGCTTGTTTGGACCAATGGAATTTATGGAGGAATTGACTCTCTAAATCCCCATTGATTCAATGGGCCTGCTCTAGTGCAATTTATTATGCTAAGCAAGAGGATTTTGGCCATTGTTCAGCTAGGGAGAGATTTTAAGAGTAAATGCTTTGGTTTTCTGATTTACAAAACAAGCTAATGTACAAACAAGTTTCCAACAAAATACTGATTTACCCTACTTATTGTTCCTCTGTTTTTTGTAGTTTGGCAGAATTAGAAACCGATCTTAAAGTTTTCAAAGAGACAGTATTGGAAATCCTAGATGATGAAGAAGTTCTAGAAGAGCTGTGCCTCAGTAAATGGACAGACCCCCGAGTATTGTGAGTGTGTACTGCAATGCTTATTTTGGGGAGCTTCAAGGAGCATGCCTCTGTCCTAAACTCACAAAATTATGGAAGTGAGCACTGTATTTTCTGCACATGTGTAAACTAGTTATTCAAAGCATCTTGTTTGTTCAATCAAAGCATAGCTATGTAGAATATTCTTGCTACATAGCACAGCTGGCTATTTTATTAGTCACTCTGGTGGACCACTTGTTTGGTGTGGCAACTCTTACAGTTTAACATCCAGTAACTATAAAGGGATTGTAGTTTCTGGAAAACATGGCTAAAAACTGTTTGAAAGTAGTGGTGATCAATATGAGGAAGAAAAGTTCCTGCTAAGGCTGAAATCCAGCAGTAAGTTACAATTAAAGTAGGCTGGTTGAATCAATGCAACTTACAGAGAGAGGAGTTGATTCTTCAGACCCTCTGATTCAGTGGGGCTGCTCTAGTTGTGGCTTACTATTAAATTTCAGTTATCATATATACTTAATGCTGCAGTCGTTGCACTCAGTGTCTTGGGAGATCTTCCCACAAGTGAATTAGAATGGGAGAATAATATCAGTAAACCCGTATTGGTTGGACAGATTGGTCTGAGCCAAGCAAACTAATGCAAAACTGGAAAAGAAAACCATGCTAGAAAATACCCAGAAAATTAAAAGCGGCAAATTGTTTCTTAAAGGATTAATTTGAATATATTTTGAGGCCTCTGCTTGTAAAATGCTCAAGGAGAAGCAAAATCGTGACCAAATAATAACATTGTCCCCTGGGTGTTAGTTATGGAATATGTCTGTAGTGTTCTTCCAACTAGAAAAAAGTACCTTCTGAAATAGAGGAATTTGTAATTACCATTCCTAAGAAAGAAGCATTGCAGAAATGCATGTGATCATGTATTGAATAAATTCTGAGTTCAGGCATGTGCTTGCTTTCTGTTGTGCATTTGATAGGCAGGCTGATCTCACCTTCAGGAATGAAGCCTGTCCACTTTTAAGCCAACCTGTTTTACTGTCACTTCAGGCATGGCTAGTCACCTTTGAGTTTAGTAAGTCTAAGCCACCAGAAATGACTTGATAGCCCCAGCCCCATACTTGTCAGCAAAGAAGGAACAATTGTGGCAACGATTCTCAAAACTATCAGAGTAAGAGTCCTTTAATAAATGGGAAAAAGGGACTTCAGTCTTTACAAGTATAACTTGGATGAAATGGATCAGAAGGCATGGTTTATTGAGGTAAATGGAAAAATGAGATCATAGCATATTTTATAGGCTTTTTAGGAAAAGACTTTTGAGAAAGCCACTGTGCACAGAGTGTCCTCATAAAGCCACAGAAGGTGCACAGGTGCCATTGTTCCATCGATTAGTGGCTACAGTTCTTGTTCATATTATGCCTCTGCATTTATTTGTTTGAGGCTAGTGTCCTGTTGCTTATCCCAAGCAGAGTAAATCTGCTGATTTGCTGAGATTTGCAGAGTTGTTGATTTACTACTTAACTATTGATTCAGTTGGACTACTGTTCAGACTTGCAATAAGATACTGGTCTCTGTGACAAGACTGGATTTGTAGGAGCACATATTTCTTTAACCTGGTATCATAATATGACATTTCTTAATTTAAGGTGATAATGAACAGAATTCACCATTTAGGTATGATTCATTATAGCTCAACAATCCATCACTTAGCTGCAATATTCTTCCAAGTGAATGTTGACTTTGCAGTGGAGTGGAGCGTATAGTCCTTCCCTACTGGTGAAACTGGAGGAGTCACTTCTTTCAGCTCAACTGACCTTTCAAGTTAAGGAAACTCAAGATTTTGGTTGAGTGCACAGAAGGAAGAGATGATTATGTGTTAAATCAGACTTTTCACCCACTGATGAACAAATTATTTCAAATTGTTACACAAATTACATTGTCTACTCACAGGTTTCATTTATTTGCAAGTGTGGTTGTGTAGGTGCTGAAGTGTAGGAGCTAGGAAGTAAGAGGGCAGTATTACTCTAGGCTTCTACTTGAATTCATGTGCAAAATTCCAGAGTGTTGGCATTTTAATTAGAATAAAGGTTACTGTTGGTCACAGTGAGGAGAGTGTCTCTGGAATTGACCATGCTGAAGAGATGGAACTGCTGTTGGAAAATTACTACAGGCAGGCAGATGATCTTCTTAATGAAACTCGTGAGCTTCGGATATTGATTGATGATTCTGAAAGCATTATCTTCATCAACTTGGACAGGTTAGTGACATGTAGTATATAATTTGCCAGTATTTCAAATAATCAATGTGTAAATGTTCATTATCATTCCTGCTTTTGGTTCTGTTCTTTTTTTAAGTTGGAAAAAAGCATTGAATTGCTGTAAATTGCTGTGGATATTTCAGTGAATTGCCTTGTGTTTCTCATAGTACATCAGGGTTAAAATCAACATGACAGTGAATATATAACTTAGAATAACTTCACATATTTCCTTGAATACAAGTGTCTTGCAGCATTAGTTTACCTTGGTTTGGGCTTCAGGCTAGATAGCCTTCCAGATGTTTTGGGCCACCCATCTCATAAGTCCTCTAATTGACATGGTTAGTGGGGCTATGGGAATTGCAGTGCAACACATTGATGAACCCATGACAACCCTCGGTTTAAAGGCAATATTCCTTTATGTATGGACTGGTAAACATTTAATTAAAAAACCCACTAGTTTTGCTTAGAACTGCAGTTAATTGCAAGCTGTCCTCAATGTGCATACAAATATAGTGTGAAGACTCTTTTTTCCTCTTCTGTAGGAAAGTTAATTCAGAGGGAGTGCTGTATCAGGAGGCCAGAACAAAGTCTTAAATGAAGAGCTGAGTACCAGAAGGGCCATTATGTTCCTGCCATATATTCCACTGCCTTTTCTGATCCTCTGCTCCTTTTGTAAGTATTGTTGCAAGGTAACAGTAAATCAACTTGCCATATATACATTATAAAAGCCAGTTTTCAGAAGCAAATCCTTCATTAAGCCCATAAACTTTTACTGTTACTCTGTTAGTACTTACAGAGGAATCAGAGATGGCATAGAGAGATTGTGATCTCTGCAGAGAAGAAGCTATTCTGTTTCCTTATCACCCAACTTTCAAAACTGAACAAAACCACCATTGATCCAGTTCCACTTTGTTGTTGTCTTATTGACTCTTTTGAATAGTGTAGTATTAGTATTCTGCTTCCATTTATCTAAGATAAGGCTAGCATGCTCTTTCATTTTTTTTTTTACTGTATGAACTTAACTCAAGTTATAACAGTTGAAGCATGAAACACTACACAGTATTTCCGGACACAGCCATTTCGGAACACAGACTTCCCACCAGTTGACTCCAGCCTCAGTGAAATATCCTACTGTTTTGTTTTGGAACACATCCCCCAGAATTCTGTATCAGTTTGGCAGTGAGTACCTTTGGAAGAACATTCCGCTAGGCTGAACTGCTTTCTTTACATTTGCTATTTTATCCTGGGATGGACAACCTGTGATGCAACTCCCATAATCCCTCACCATTAGCTAGGCTGGCTAGGGCTAATAGTTGTTGTTTGCTACGTACATCTGAAAGTATTGGCATAGGGTGGAAATTTATGGCTTAAAAAATCTCTACATAACAGATAGAATTTCAGGCATCTAAGTACACACTGTCAAAAGTAAAGAAATAGCTTCAACTCTCCCTTCAGTAGACCACCCTTTATTGCTTAGTTCTTTCTACGTACATCTGAAAGTATTGGCACAAGGTGAAAAATTATGGCTTTAAAATCTCTACATAGCAGATAGAAGTTCAGGAATCTAGGTACACACTGTCAAAAGAAGTAGCTTCAACTCTCCCTTCAGTATTATTTTATTGCTTAGTTCTCCTCAACTGGCACTTATTGTCTCAACAGCTCATTCAGGGACACTGCTAAGAGAAAGAATAAAAATGCCATTTTGCTCATATTTCTGAATAGATTAAAACAGCATTCTATAGAAAGCCAATGGCTGGTTACAGAGCTTAACTGATTAACTAGCTTCATAACCACTACATGATTGACTCTTAACTACATAACACACTGTCCACAGACTGTTTAACTCCTGACAAACAAAAGAAGAGGAACAAGGTCTTAAGTAGAAAGGCATGGCTTGCTTCAAAGTCTGAGGCAGGAAAGGAACAATTGGCTACTGCTGGATTGATTGACAATAACTCCAGTGCAAAAAAGGTCCCTCCCAGCCAAAACTTCTTAAAGGTAGCATACAAAGGTTGCTAGTAATTCCAACAGGAAGGCCACACATGGCTCATACACTTGGAATCATAGAGCTCCTCATCCATAAAACCCTGTTCCAGGCCTCTGCATTTCTTGGATCATGAGAACTTGTTTATGGATAGACATTTTTCCACAGTCGTAGCTGTGGATGAGGCTATATTGCTGAGAATCCATACTGTACAACAGCTATGCTGGGGAGGCAGAGTGGAAGTTAAATTTCAGACTTCAGGAGTTAATTAGAATTATGTATAAATGATGAATTTTTGCATCCTAAATGCAGTCTTCAGCGAGCAGTTCCCTTAAAAATATTTATTTTCTTTATTGGGATTCCAGTTTGCTGGTTTACATATTGAGATAATTTTAAGGTGCAATTTGTTTGAATAGATACATGTCTGAATTTAGATGGCTTGGAATATGCTCAGCTAGCCCACAATTATATAGTTAACTACATGTTTATTGGTTAAGTTACTGGAAAGGAGTGCTGTAGTCTAGAGCATGGAAAAACTTGATTAAAAATTTTGGCAACTAAGTATTCCTTGACAGCACTTTCCAGAAAAGACACATATGATGATGAATGATGATCAATTTGTACTTTGGAAGCTTTAATGAAAAGTCAGTGTAGGTATTCAAGTGAGGGTTGACCCCACCCCGTGCCTTTTTTTTTTTTTCCCCACCCAAATATAACCATAAATGGGCTTGCAGCTACTTTTGATTTCCTCCTCTTTGTTCTTTTCAAGGCAAGTGCAGCCACAAGGTTGGTCTTCTGGGAAGAAAATGAGCATCTATATCCCTAGAATCCATCTACCCCCTCCATTCAGTGGATAGTAATGGCTGCTGACCCTAAACTAAGTCTTTCAGGGTTGGTGAAAGGAACCTTGTTCTAATCTTGCTTCCCACTCCTGTCTGTGAGAACCAGATGAGAGGTGTGTTTTCCCCAGAGGTAGTGAAATCATAGTGGACTTGACCATGAAAGGCTGCTGATTGTTTGGTTGCTTTTTCTGTGTGGTCTAATAAAAGGTATCACCTCTTCTGCATTTATATTAAGTAACTGAAAAACAGCCTTTTTCTTTGACATGGTTGAATTTCTTTTTTTTAGCCACCGTAACGTAATGATGAGGCTGAACTTGCAGCTGACCATGGGTACTTTCTCACTCTCACTCTTCGGACTGATGGGAGTAGCTTTTGGCATGAACTTGGAGTCTTCATTTGAAGAGGTGAGACACAGGTCTGAAGAAGCCTTTGTCATTTCTGAAGAGACCTGGCATAACTCTGATTTCTGTTTTGTGCATAAAGCATAACAGTCATTAGTTTATAAGTCATGCCCCTTTACCTAGTTCATAATTTTCTTCCTTGCTTCTCAGAACAGATCTCTCACTAGGTTGGGGAGTTGTACCAAAGGAAATTAAGAGAGGAGAAGAAAGGAACTCAGAGCAGCTACCATTTTTGGTAGAAATATGGGAGAAAGGAAGAGGCCATATCATAGTGTGTATTAGGACACATTGGTTTCCTGCTATCCATTTCTAGGATGACAGTTTTGCCAGCATACCGAGTTGCTAGATGTTTGCTTAGTGTTTCTCATTATCCTCAGTTCAAAAGGCCTGCCCTGTACAATACTGGGCTTTTGAAAGAAATAAAAATAACATGATGGTAATGAATTTTCTTTGAAGAAAATTATGTGTTCTTAACTCCGCTAGGATCACAGAGCCTTTTGGCTGGTGACTGGAATTATGTGTCTGGGCAGTGGCCTAATTTGGCGATGGCTTCTTTCCTTCCTTGGACGACATCTACAATCTTCAACACCTGTATCAGTGAGTACAAACTAACATTTACAAAATGCCTCCACCTACTCCACACATGGCCCAGTGCTTCAGTTTTTCAAGACTCCCTGTGGAATGTTGAAACATTGACAACCTGGAACATAAGAGCAGGACTTGTTCATCTTGATTTACTACGATGAGATCTACAATAAGTAAGTAGACTCAATGTGAGACTGTAACCCTCTTCAGGCGTTATGGATATGTATTCCCTAAACACACGGGGAATAGGGACTGCATTAGCATTATTTCTGTTCTCCCATGGCGAGAAAGTTTCTTGAGAGGACAGTGTCTGTGGAGACGTTAGATGCTGGATCCATAACACCTGAATAGGGTTCATATGAATATGTGAATTATTAATCTGCTTTACATGGCAGGCAACCAAGATGCAGCAGCTCTGTGAGTCTGGTCTTTCTCCAAGTTAGAGATCAACTTTAATTTGATGTCACATTTTAAGTAACTTCACTTTTCCTAGAGGCCCTAGCTGTCAAGGTGGCAACCCATTTTGTTTTTAAACATTCAAAAGATAATGTGAAGTGACTTTACTCTCCTTTTTTGAAGTCCATACTGAAAGGCCAGTGGGAAACCCAGACCAAAGGTAAGCAGCTTGATTTGAATCCAGTAGTTCATTTGTGGTCAGTTGCATCACTTAAAATCAAAGGAAGTTACACTGTCTTGATTAAATAGGACTGGGCACATCTCTCTCTCTCTCTCTTTTGTAGCCTTCTGCAACTTCATGCCCATGCGTTTTGACAATTCCCCTCATACCCAGCTAGTACAGCCATCGGCCATGTCCCTTAGGATGATACGAAGTAATGGGAAAGGCTAGTTGGTAGAACAGTTGGTGCCTACCTTGTAATTTACCTCCATTAAAATGTGTCTTTCAGAAGAGTCTGTGATCTTCAATGTGTGACAGGTCCTTTTACATGTCAAATTTCTTGCTTTAGTCCTAAAGTTTGTTACAGGTGACGTTGTTCGACAACAGGAGTGGAAAAGTTGACAGGACCAAGGGCCAATTTTCTGCTCCTGGGCTTCACTGGGAACTGCACAAACCACCAAAAGAATGCCAGAAATGCAGAAGATGAAACTGGAAGGCCCTATAAAGCCTATTTCCAGTTTTGAAGAAAAAAGAATTAACATAAACCCATTAAAAAGTGCAAGGGAGTCTATGATCTGTTAAAAAGTTGACTGCCCATTCCTGGAAGCTTACAGGTGCCTCAGTTTACTTCCCTGTGCCAGAAAGAGGAGTTTATGGGATGGCCGACACTTTTTCTACTCTGATCTACAAGCTTTATTCACATTCCTGAGCTGTATTGGCTGGCTGGCCCCTTTTTAAAACTGCTTGACCAGAGATACATTGTTGCTGGATAAGTATTTCTTTATTTGTAGTAAATAACTGTTGCTCACAATGGCCTAGCTCCCACTTACTATAAATTTCAGTAGGTTTATCTTTTTCTTCCCCTTGGGCATTCCGTCCTCTAAGCCTGGGCATCTTTCTGGTTGCAAACAAAACAAATATTATCAGCTAAATCAAATTTTACCTTCTCTAGATTGGCCCTGCATCTGTGTCAGAAGATAGTATTTGGGGAGTCTGATTTAGGAATAACCCAGTTCATCCATTCTTGCTTTGGATATTCAGTTTCTTTCCCTTGCAGCTGTATTAGGCTGATACAAGGACTGTTCTTATAATGGCAGCTGTTGGATGGCTTATTGGCGGATGGCCTAGCTCTCACTTACTATAAACTTCAGTAAGTTTATCTTTCTCTTCCCCTTGGGCATTCCGTCCTCTAAGACTGGGCCTCTTTCTGGTTGCAAACAAAACACAAATATTATCAGCTAAATCAAATTTTACCTTCTCTAGATTGGCCCTGCATCTGTGTCAGAAGATAGCATTTGGGGATAACCTAGTTCATCCATTCTTGCTTTGGATATTCAGTTTCTTTCCCTTGCAGCTGTATTAGGCTGATACAAGGACTGTTCTTATAATGGCAGCTGTTGGATGGCTTATTGGCGATTTCTTGAAGAAAAAAAAGCATCAGATTATAATTTTTATAGAACTGGTTGAGGACATATTACTGGAGTCTACATCATTCTGGAATAAAGACAAGACAAGCTTGCCTCAGTTGGCCATAATTATGCTTCACTGGTCGTCCAGTTTCTCATCTCTCAGTCCTATTCTGGCTCAAGCAGCTTTCTTGACACTATATAAAAGAACTACTGCCAGGCTCCAGGCTTAAGTACAGGGAATTAACCTGTCCATTTTACTTTTTTTCCCTTTGAAAATCAGTTAATATAGTAACCTCTGCAGAAAGTTGTTCTGGCTCTTTTAAAGTGCACTTTTAAAGTGCAATTGACCATTCTTTTGAGGAGTTCACAGTTCCTTAGTGCTGACTACTTGTTTCCCCCACTTACTTTTTGCTGTTGCTGTTTCCCCTAGGTTACTTCTTTATTGAAACGAACTCCGCCAGCAAATGGAAAAGTGGAATTCAAAAGTGACTTTAAAACAGAACCCTTTGGGTCAAGTAGAGGCACGGTGACCAGTCAGTAATCTGACCACTACTGGTTGTTTCTGCAGAACTGAATTTGAGACTCAAAAACAATTTGAGACTTGTTTTTTCTCTCAGAAGAATTTGAGATTTGTTTTTTCTCTCAGAAGAGGTAGCAGGTATCATTTAACTGTAGTGTTTACTAAAGATGTGAATCTGCAGCCATCCAAATCTGCAGCTTTGCAGAGAAGAGCTCAGCAGAATTTAGTACACCAAAGTAGAAAACCTCAAATTCCCATGAGATATATGACATACCACGTGGACTGCTTCATCTGATATTGATTCTGGGAATTCTGGTGTCACCTTGATAATGTCACAACGCAAAACAAAACCCCTGCTAATGGCATCTATCTTTTTTGAAATGCAAATTCCAACCTATAAATACTACCTGTATTCTTACTTAGTGGTTTCACTTGTGTTCCTTTGTGCAAGGGAATATTTGTAGGGAAAATGTGCCATCTAAATGGCCTTTAAACCATAGACTTCTTTAATGCAGAGATAGATAGTCTTATCCTCGTTGGTACATTCTGTTTTGAAAGAGTACACAACTGAATTGAATGCTATTATGGAACACACTTAAACTTCCTAGGTTAATATATTCTTCCTTCAACACTTCTGAAGGTGCCATTCTTAAAGAGGAAATATCCTGCTGGGTTATAAGACTTGAAGTACTCCCCACTTTCTGGGCGAGAGGGGTATTAAAAGTGATTGTCTACTGGTCTATTTAGTAACAGGGATGCAAGGGAATGTAAAGTGATTGTCTACTGGTCTATTTAGGTAACAGGGATGCAAGGAAATGCCTTGCTTGTGTGTGTGTGTGTATGCACTCTTTCAAAGCTAATATCTAATAAACAATTATTATTTTAACTCAGGGGTTAGGCAGCCCTGACGCCTTCCAAATATTTTGGACAATGACTCCTTTGATTCTTAACTATACAAATCATGCTGGCTGCATGATTGGGAATTGTTCTAAACATCGGAGGACACCAGTTCCCCCACACCAGCTTTAACCCAAAAGAATCTCCCTTTTAGGGTAAATTTGTTTGGCTGTGTTTGTAACTGTTAAGTGGCTGGATCCCAAAGAAAAGAGTATTTTCTGCCCTCTGTCCCATTTTTCCCTATCATAATAATGCCAGCAAGCAAATCTGCTGCTGTCCTGGTCCAGATGCTGCATTCAGAAGGACTGTCTCCATTGGATTCAGAGCCTTATACTGAAACTTCAGACAGGTCTCTTAGGTGGTTCCCTGCTCTTCTCCCCTTGCTCAGGAGGCACATGTGACAGTTCCATTAAAATATTAATATTACATTACCAAGTGGAGGCCTTCATTGAGTCGTCTTCCCATTCTTTTCTAAGTAAATATTAGAAGGGACTTAAACAATTGTGATATTTAAGTCCCTTCTTAAAGCACCATCCCTACTCTGAAGCACCATCCTTACTCTGATGATGCTTCAGAGTACCAAAAGAGAAAGAAAGAAAGAAAGAAAGTGGTGCTTCAGAGTACCAAAAGAAAGAGAAAGAAAGAAAACTACTAACTGCTTGAAAGGTAAAATAACTAGGGAATGAGAAGAGTTACCATATGTTGTGTGGTTAGCTAACCTATCCTCCTTCAGAATTACTGTAAATGGTTACTTAAAGAGGAGTAGCTTTTATTATTTGCATTATGTGTGAAACAGTGAGTCTTTGGTTTCCAGTTTTAAATGAAGACAGTACTTTCACTGACCTAAATCGCTTAGACAGAACCTGGAATACATTGATGTAAAGAAGAAAGTGGGGTGGCATTTGAGTAGGAAGATAGGGTTCTGCCTTATATTAGGTCAGGCTATTGGTTTATTTAGCCTAGTGTTGCCTACTGATGACAGCTCTCCAGGGTTTTTACTAGAGAGGTGTTTCCTTTTACCCACTGTTGAGCTCTCTTAACTGGAAAGGCCAAGGATCACATCTAGGAACTTCAATATGCAAAGCACACCACTAAACTACAGAAACCACTGTAATAAATGTAAAAGTTTAGGAAATCTGAAATTGCCAATATTCTTCTGTGCCAATTTCTAAGTCCTTCTATATTGATCAAATATTAATTTACTTAAATTTATTTAAAATATTTTTATCTCACCTTTCTCCTTAAAAAGGACCCAAGGCAGCAAATATTAAGCAGATCTTGTACATCTCAGCTCACTATTAAGTATGTCTTGAGATACAAGTACAACTACAGATAACTTTTCTTGTTGTTCCAGGGATGATGTGAAGCAGAAAATAGTGGCTTTCTTCAAAGCCCTGGTCATTGCTCAGACACTACAATGGCTATCTTTGTAGTAATTTAAAATGTCAGCACTTGGCACAGGTAGCCTTCAGCAATGGTCCAACTGAAGGCAGGATTATGTGGACAGCATGGCATTTCATTTCTTTTTGCACAGATGAAATTGCATTTGGCCTAATTTTAAGTAAAATTGTTCCACCTCTTTTTCACATATTGTAATCACTGGGGTGGTGCCTTTCTAACCAGGGTAGGAATGAATAGCAGGATGGTGAGTACAAAAAAAATATATGTCTGTGAAAAACTATTTGTTGTAAAACTCCACCTTTGTAGATTTTTCTTCTCCTGTGCTGTGTCACACTGTATGGCAATAAATCAAAGTATTTTCTTACCCATTATTGCTTTTAATATTGACATTTAGCTAAAATTGGACCCTCTTTTAGAAGGGGGGGCTAGCTTAAAAGGTTTCTGCTAATCACATGCCAGTCCCATAACACATACGGGTTACATTCTGTAAAACAGCTGGTTCAAAAAATGTGAAAAGTGACTTTTTGAAAACACACAGAGAAAAATTAAAAAGTGTAGATGAAGAGCCTCCCACTAAGCCGTGCTTTTACTGAACTCCTCTCAGCAGCTACTACAACTTCATTCTGAAACAGAAAGCAGCCATTAATCCCATTCCAGCCATGCAGAGAAAAGAGTAGTTTTTTAAAGCTTTTCAATCAGGTCCTTCTGTTTCCAGGGCAAAGAAAGAGATCAGCTCTCTTTGGTTAGGTTACCCCTTTAGGTCATCATGACAGGCCAATGACCACTGCAGTCTGTTGGGGGGTGGAACTATTGCCAAGTATCTTGAAGCATGTGGGCTTGAATCTATTGCTAAATATATGTGTAACTGCTTTGTGATCATTCTGCTGAAGTGGCAGCCACACTTCCTCATTTCCTCTCCCTCAAACCTTAAAGCAAGACAAACTACATTTTTTCCTTATGTGTGCAAGTGGCAGCCAACAAAATGAAGTCCAGGCTGGAATATTCCAAACATAAAAGCACACTATGCACTTTGTATTATGAAGGGCAAGGCCTACCTCTGTTTTCGGTGGCAGTGGTATTTTATCAATTACAGCTCTGGTCCTGTACTGACTAGCCATCCTCTGGGCGACTGAGCATGCAGTCGAATTATGTTATCCATGTTCACTTTTCTGGTACCACAAATATAACCAAGAAAGTGGCGTATAATAGAGAATATCAAAACATGTTTTGTCCTCAATTATCTTTTCAAGGTGCTATGGCTGGCAAAATATGTACAAGGAATAGTTTCTTATCCACCTGGTGTGTTTGATAAGAGTTTCCACCAATATCATACATTGGTTCAGGAAACAAACTGTTGAAATAGCTGTTCATTCATGCTCTTTCCATAGCTTGTTTGCTTACCTTTTGTCCAGATTTGACTGTAATCAAGGAATTTCCAAATCTTGATTTTTCCTGCAATATGAAAGCCTTCTGTTATGCAGTGAAAGTACTCAGACATGTTAACGTTTTTGTCTTCATGATAGATGTTTTGATTCCACAGTCAAGAGATCAAAGGTTCTCTAACCTTACAGAGTGAGCAGAGCATTGTTGTCCTTCCAGTTGAATGCTGACAATGCATTACTATGAAAGAATAGCTACACTGCAAAAAGATGCCTACTGAGCTAATGGCTCTAGATTATTGCAGTCAATGAGCAAGCCCCTGGAGTAGAAAAATAGGGAAATAGCTCAGGTCTGCTCATCAACTGGAATTTCTTTTACATACCCTTTGAGCAAGCCTACTCTGGTCTCAAACATGTTTTACTCAGTCACAAATCTTCCTGAATTCAATGTTCTTAAAAACAGGCCACAGGTTTTCTAAAACAAAGCTCTCAGTAGCTACAAGTTGTAACCAGATAGAGTCCTACTTCTGAGTAGAATAAATGGATCCATTTATAAGTAGGTTTGGTTGAATCTTATCCCATATTTCCAAGCCAGTCAATAACCTGTTACTCACTGTTGATACTCCAGTCTTTAGGGGCAGGTGAACAGCCTGCCTGTTTGTTCCCTGTGGATCAAACTGAAGTAACAGAAATTGCAAGATATCATTTATAGAACAAACCAGTTGTTTGCAGCCCAATACATTAGTTATTCTAATGGTTTCTTATACATCTAAATAACCCCCTAACTCCTATGTTAAACAGATAGAAGGCTAATATTTAGTCATTATTTCTCACGTGTTTTTTTTTCAACCTAAATAATGCATTATCCCTTTAGGATTTGATTGCTTACCTCAGGGGAAATTATGACATACTGTGCCTGTGAAAGAGAACAAAAATAAATAAATTTAAATTTAAAGTAATCACAAGACTACTTGTCTTTCCCAATGTATGTTCAACTGCAAACATTTTAAAAGGTATATGAACATACAAAAACATCAGGCTCTTGCACAATTTTTTCAATTCAGAAATTTTTATTGTATCACCTTCAGTAATGATACACCTTCAATGATGAAAAAATTCATACTGCTAAAGAGAAACAATTCAACACATTTTTCAATATAGATTATAGATAAAATTGTTATTGGGTGTGGCGATCAAAAATCTCAAATCAAGAAACTAAGGATGATATCTTACCCATTCTTCAGGACAAGGGGAAGTCCATGATTTGCAGTTGTCTGTCACACTGCCCAAGGTTGTCTGATTTCCACTGAATATATAAACACGTGCAGCTTCTCCTCCAAATATTCCAGCTGTGATGTCTTTGCTTCGAAGAGATGCCGTTACAATGATCTCATCTGCAAATAGGAAAAATGTATACAGTGTACAATACAACAGCAATTGTTTTTCACCAGAAGTGCAAAATGCCATGTTCATCCAGTGTAAAAACCTTTAGCTATAAAAGTACCTAACTGAACACAAAACAAAATTGGCAATGCTGAAGTGTTATCCATGACTCTAGGTCCCAAAGGTCAGCAAGTTTTCGAGTTAATTTGTGTACATGTTAGCTATAATATTTACAGTTGGATCCAAAAATTAGACACTGACACAAGTTTTGTTATTTCAGTTGTTTCCTAAAAGAAATTCAAGTTACAGTTAAATAACGAATATGGGCTTAAAGTGCAGTCTGCTAGCTTTAATTTGAGGGCATTCACATCCAAATTGGAGGAAGGGTTTAGGAATTACAGCTCTTTAATATGTAGCCCCCTCTTTTTCAAGGGACCAAAAGTAATTGGACAACTGACTCAAAAGCTTTCATGGAAAGGTGTGGACTATTCCTTTGTTATTTCATCATCAATTAAGCAGGTAAAAGGTCTGATTTTGATTCCAGGTGTAGCACTCGCATTTGGAAGCTATTGCTGTGAATTCACAACACGTGTTCAAAGGAATTCTCAATGCAAGTGAAATAGGCCACCCTCAGGTTGCAAAAAAATAATTAATAAATCCATCAGAGAGAGAGCGGGAACATTAGGAGCGGCCAAATCAACAGTTTGGTACATTCTGGGGGGAAAAAACCCACGCCGGTGAGTATGCAGAACAAAAAGGCCTGGACATCCACGGAAGACAACAGTGGTGGATGATCATCATAGGATGCTATCCATGATAAAAAGCCCTTCAGAACATCCAGTCAGGTGAAGAACACTCTCCAGAAGGTAGGTATATCATTCATTATCCTGGTATACCATAAAGAGGAGACTTCATGAGAGCAAATAGAGTTCACCTGGTGAGTCTGCAGTACAAAAAGGCCTGGACATCCACGGAAGACAACAGTGGTGGATGATCATCATAGGATGCTATCCATGATAAAAAGCCCTTCAGAACATCCAGTCAGGTGAAGAACACTCTCCAGAAGGTAGGTATATCATTCATTATCCTGGTATACCATAAAGAGGAGACTTCATGAGAGCAAATAGAGTTCACCACTAGGTGCAAACCATTCATAAGCCTCGAGAATAGAAAGGCCAGGTTAGACTTTGGCAAAAAAAAAAAATCTTTAAAAGCCAGCCTGGTTCTGGAACACCATTCTTTGGACAAACGAAACTAAGAGCAACCTGTATCAGAACGATGGGAAGAAAAAATTACAGAGAAAACTTGGAATGACTCATGATCCAAAGCGTATCACAACATCTGTAAACATGGTGGAGGCAGTGTGATGACATGGGCATGCATGGCTTCCAGTGGCATTGGGTCAGTAGCGTTTGTTGAGTATAAGACAGAAGCAGCCAAATGAATTCTGAAGTGGATAGGGACATATTGTCTGCTCAAATTCAGCAAAGTTGATTGGATGGCACTTCACTTTACAGATGAAAATCCATTCTCAGAGCCAGAATTATGAAAATTGTGTCAATGTACAATTCTTTCCAGACCTAACTGTACTTTTAAGTTATAATGATAATGAAACACTTCATTAATGCAAATATTTCTAGTTATCACTGGTGCACAGCATCTTGCAATACAGTGGACCCTCGACTTATACAATTAATCCGTATTGGAACTGTGGCCGCAGGTCGAAAATTCCGTAGGTCGAGGGTCCATTTCCCATACGAATGCATTGAAAATCATTTAATCCATTCCAGCCAAAGGAAAAAAAAATCCTGGGCTTCCAAAGCTGCACCTGCTGCCCTTTGCCTTCTGGCCCCACTGTCCTCTGCCTACCATCCCCGTGGGGACAGGAAGCAGAGGGCACCAGGGACAGGAGACAAGAGGCCAGTGGGTGCAACTTTCTAAGCCCCGAAAGCCGGCAGTGGGCACGGAGCGGCTTTCAGGCGGATTGGCTTTTGGGGCTTAGAAAGCTGCCCCTACTACCTTCTTGTCTCCTGTCCACAGGAGGCAGAGGCACCGGGGACAGGAGACAAGAGGGCACACTGCCCTATTGTCTCCTGTCCACAGGGGGCAGAGGGCACCGGGGACAGGAGACGAGGGCAGCGGGGGCTGCTTAGAATTTCCCACCCTTTCCCCCGCCTTTCATAGGCCGAAGCTCCGGCCGCAAGTCGAACTAAAATTTTGCGGCCGGAGCTTTTCGTACCTTGAAATTTCTGTAAGTAGGGACCTTCGTAAGTCGATTATCTGTATCATGACCGGTGACATTTTCTGCAGCAGTGAGATTTCACTACAGGCAGCAGCACCTTGTTAAGTGTCAGAACAGACTGTTGGCCACACACACCCTGAGTCCCAAATATTCAGGGACATGGTTGAACTACCTGGATTGTTCAAAACAGTTGTCTTGGTACACTAGTTCTCATGCATGATGAGAACTGGATAGTAAGAACACTGTTTACGATCAGCTCAGCAATAATCACAAAATAGTTTTAGCTCTTCAAACACTGGGAAGGTGGGATGCTGACAAATAAGAGAGTACAGATTGCTGTAGCTTCCACACAGCAGGACTGTACAGCTTAATGCATCTCATTGTGTATCCTTTTTAAGAAATGAATACATTTAATTTTAAACTAAAATGCTTGGGGTATTAATTAGTCCTGAAAATTTTAAATTTATCTGTATCATGACCTGTTCATGCTTCCCTGAGAAACTTGGTGTGTTTTCTATTATCTCCAAGCCATTTCCAGCACTAGATCTGCTTTGCTTCAGTAACACTTTTGCATGCTCTCTTTTTATTTTGCCTATGAAAATGTTTTGTTTAACCTGAAAACTGTGTTCTGGGAAAGCTCACCAAAAACACATTGATTCCACTATTTACCAAAAGGGAAGGTTTCTCATTTATCCACAAGAATTTCGGATTCTAAGATCTGTGAATGGAGTTCCACAAGCAGAATGGAAGCTTTCCTGTTTCTTGCTCATGTCTTCCCAAAAGGGAGTCTGCATTATGATGACCCTTCAGAACGGCATTCAGTATCATCTCATTTAAGATCCCCGATTAAAGCTGTAATTCTATACACCAAAAGTGAGGGAAATTTGACCTTTTTTTCTTTTCTGGATGCCAACTCCCCTAAAGATCCCAAACAGCACAGCTGATAGGCAGATTGTACGAGTCTAAAACTATGACAATCTAGAAGTTCCTTGTGCTAGCGATTAGTATTCACCTTGGATTAGACTTCAGTGAATTCAACAGAAGTTACTTTTGAATAGACTCGCATTATAAACATCCTTCCCTGTGATAAAAAAAACAGTCCAAGCATTAAGCATGGATCTGTGAAGAGCTCCGTGTTTAGTAGAGATGGAGGCATGCGTTTGAGCCCTTCCCATTTAGATCCTCCCCATCTGTTTTGCCTCAAAAGTCGGCAACTGGATGTGTTTACAGCACTTATTTCCCATCTGCTCAGTTCAACATGCTTTTGGCCTCTGCTGCAGACCTTAAACACTTTAAACACACAGAGGTCTGAAAGACTTCCAGGTGGGCTGGGGTGGTAGGAGGTAGGGTTTGTGCAAGCCCCAACGTTCCTATCATCCATCGGATGCTACACAGATTCAGGCTTAACACCTGATGTTGCATTTTGTATGAAACAGGTCCTGTGCTGCCTTGCCTTATACAAAGTCTTCAGCTGTTAGGCACAGCTTCAACTGTGGTTCTCTCCCTTTACCCCACCTATTGTGTGTATCTTAGGGTATGCAATCAATGTCTTTTAAAACTACACTTCAGTTAGTCGTTTAGGTCAGAGGTCATCAAACCCCCAGTCCATGGCCTGAGCTGGACCAGGCTGCAGAGACAGACCTCCCGCCCCCTGCCCCCCCGCATGTACTCCCTTCCGCACAGCTGCTTTGCATGCACACATTTGTGCCAGCACCGGTGAGAGCACTCCCCCACCCCTCCACACAGGCGCCCAAACGCCTGCGCGAAGGGGTGGACGCGCAGGCACGGAGGCGTGCAGATGCTCCTGCACATGGCCAAAGGGGTGGGGGAATGCTCATGCCGGCGCTGGCAGGTGTGCGCACGCTCCCCCACCACCGTGAGTGTGGGGAGGTGCCCCGCCTCAAAGGCTCAGCCGGTCTGCAGTCCCAAAAACGTTGGGGACCACTGTTTTAGGTGCTTCACAAATGAAACCCAGTACTGATTGTACTGGTGATTTTGTTTTTACCAAGTCCATCATTATCCAGGTCACGCAAGTGCACATCTCCACCAAAGCGTGAAAATCTTCTGTCCCCGCTGAACCTGCTGAGCAGAGAAGGTTTGGAGCTCTCTGTCAAATCATACATCATAGTAATTCCTGCTTGATGCAGCACTGCTGGTATAAATGCAATCCTAGATGAGCTCCCTGGAAGAAATCAAGCATGGTGAAACAGGGTCAGGCAGCACTGTTCCTAGGAGAGGGTTATAAATACTGGTAGCAATAGACGGTTACTGTCCCTCAGAAAAGGTCATAATTAGGTGACTGGACGGAAATGTTGGCTCTACTAAATTCAGCTGCAAGTGCAAAACAGTGTATTAGTTTGGCCTAAAATATGCGTTTTTAGAATATTAAAAGCCTACATATTAGAATGTTAATGCTAGCAGGGGTTTTTTCATTTTAGT